AGGGCGGTCCTCAGTCAGCATGCTCACGAGCGCGAAAAAGGAGCACAATTTAGGGTTGGGGGGGGGGGGGTTTGGACGCGGGCGGCGGCGCAGAGAGCGTTCACTCTGCCTCTCGGGGAGAGGCGCCTGTTCGGTGGCGTCGGCGAACCGCTCTTGCATGTTTCGCATGATGGCTCTATAGCGGAGGAAGTCGACGACGCGCGAGCGGAAGGAGCGGCAGGTGAGGTAGAGGTCGCGCATGATGTGGAGAGGGAGGCCTGGCGGGCGGCGCACCGGCGGGTGAGGAGCGAGGGGCGGGAGGGGGTGGGGCGGATGCTGGGAGGGCGCGGGAGGGGAGCCGGGAGGGTGGGGGGTGGGGGTCGGAGTGCGAGGGGGAAAGTTGGGTGGAAGGGCGGGAGGGCGCCATAGTAGGCGCAAATGAGGACGAAGAAGCCGAGGTAGATGAGCATGTGGAACAGGTCGGTCGCGAGGTCGAGGTAGAAGAGGTAGACACCTGCGCCCGTCCGCGCGAAGGGTTCTCGAGCCACGGCGGCCGAGGGGTACGCCGGGAGGACGGGTGGCTCACCCTTCTCGTCCCAGCGGCCGCCTAGGCGCGCCTCATTGACGTAGAGGGCGTACTTGACGAAGGTGGCGGCAATGGTGCTCGAGAGAAGTAGGTACTCGAACGCGAAGAGCAGCAGCACCGACGGCCCGCGTGCGATGGAGGACGAAAGAGCGTGGTAGAGGAACGCGGCGTCGAGGGCGGCGAGCGCCGAGGTGAGGCCGAGCACCCGGAGGTGAGTGACGAGCCGCACCTCCGGCGCCTGCTCGAGGAAGGCGATCCGATCCTGCAGAAGCCAGTGGAACGACTTGATGAAGAGGAGCGCGCAAAACATCGCACAGAACGATATGTTGAACTCTTCACGGAAGATGGTCATCGCGAGGCAGGTCTCGGTGATGGCGTACCACGCGCGCTCGTACAGGTGCTCCACCTCCGCCTCGCGAAGGCGGCCGAAGAAGGCCGACTTGAGTATGCGCCCCACGAGCAGCGTGAGCGCTAGGGCTGCGTTGGCCAGCACAAGCGAAGCTACCTTGTTGGTGGTCAGTGCGATGACCGTCGGGTAGAACTGGCGGCGGATGGAGTGAGTGTGGTACGTGACGCCCACGACGAGCGCCGTCGACGCAAAGAGGTACGTCGTGAAGCGGCTGCCTGAGAGCATGTGAACGATGCGAAGCGCCACCCTGAGGTTTCGCGGAAAAGAATTTTGCCGCTTAGACTCCCTAGGGTGGGCGACGGCTAGCGCATCACACACCTCTCCTTAAAATCCCTGTGTGGTGGCGGCGTGCCGTCCTCCCATCCCTCCCTTGGGTTGTCTGCTTTCTTTCTTTCTTTCTTGTCAGGAGCAGGAGAATCACTGATCTTCTTCCAAAATCCTGCCTGCTCGTGCAGGTGGGGACCCTGTCCTCCTCCCAGCCCTCCTTCGTTTGGTTCTCTCCTTTCTTTCTTTCTTTCTTTAACTGGCGCGCACTGGCACTAACACAGGTACAATGGTACAAACAAAGGGGTCCCGTTCTCCTGTACCATGCGGAATCGACCCTATCCAGTGCTCAAGTCGTCAAGTGCTCACGGTACAAAGAATTTTACGATCGAGGCGAGCTCCCTCGCACAACACCGGGCACGGGACTTGGAGCACTTGGAGTGCAGTCATTAACCGCACATCCAAGGGCCAGGGAGCTAAGAAGCGCACCCAGCGGGCCGGATGATTGGCATCGGTTGGCGCGGCACTAACACAGGAAAAAGAAGTTCGCGGCGAATTTTCTAGACAAAATTCCAACGGGTCTCTGTCCTTCGTGTGTGTGTGTGTGTGTGTGAGAGAGAGATTTTAGAAAACCAACAAGAAATCACGACTCTCACAGTGATTTGGGCTCGGCAGCTTGTCAGCCCTTAGCCGAAGCTGGGGCCGGTCCCGTAGCCGAGAGAGCCCGCGCCGATGAGTTCGACGCGGTCGGGGGGGCCTGCGGAGAGGCCAGCGAGGTGGCGATCGCTGTACTTCATGGCGCCCTCAAAGTGGGGCTGGCTGACTCGCCAGAGGTCGATACTCTGGACGACCCATAGGATGCCACGAATGCCTGAAGGAGAGGGAGGCGAGGCCAGAGGCAGGCTCAGCTGCTCTCGGGTGATCTCACTTTGGTGGCTGAAGGACCCGATGGTCCTGTCACATTCGCGTTCCTGGGGGTAGAAGAATTCGAGGTAGAAATGAGTCAACACTTCCTTGTAGTACAGCGGACGGCCAGGCTCGCCGGCAGCATCCGCAGGGAGGCAGCATATGAGGCACCAGTCTTCTGGAGAGCTCAACAGCTGCAGCCGCGATGGTAGAGTCGGCCGCGGTTCGAGCGAGCAGCTTTTGGCTGCGGGATCGAATCGCGGATGGCTCATGCCCTCGCGGAGCGACGCGGGTCGCGCGGCGCGCGCGTGTGCGAAATGCGACAACAGTCGACAGTCGACAGACGCCTGAGCGCTGTACGACTGAACGACCGTCGCCGCAATCGCCACCGCCGCCATTTTGACGAGCAGCGCGAGCGCGCTCGTCGGCGGCCAGCCGTCGCGGGCCGGGCCGAGCCCGGCCTCGACCGGCCGCGCCGCCGCAGCAGGCCGGGAGGCCCGAATGGCGGCCGTTCTCTTTGTGTGTGTGTGTGTGTGTGTGTGTGTGTGTGTGTGTGTGTGTGTGTGTGTGTGTGTGTGTGTGTGTGTGTGTGTGTGTGTGTGTGTGTGTGTGTGTGTGTGTGTGTGTGTGTGTGTGTGTGTGTGTGTGTGTGTGTGTGTGTGTGTGCACGCACTCAACATGTACATGTCCTTCTCCCACCACCCAAGCTTCGCGTGTCTCTTTACTTCTGCTGGGACGGACTGGCGCGCACACTGGCTGGTACGGACACAGCTCACGGTGTACTACGCCAGATGAAAAAGAAATATGGCTGCTCCACGAGGCGAGCGGCGTGCTCCTCTGCCACGCGCAGCGCGGCGTCGCTCGCGCCCGCCTGCGCCTCGATGATGGCGCACAGCTGCGCTGGCGAGAGGCCCGCGACGCTCGCGCCCGGCGATTTTTTGTGTGTTCTTGCATCTTGGAGGAGATGGCGCTACTGCACGCACACTTTGGGAACTCCCTATGTGGTGGCGGTTGTCCGCGTTTTCTTTCTTTCTTATCTTCGTGCGTCGAGGGAGCCCCTTTGCTGTCAAATTCTTTCTTGTTGCGGTGTCAAATTCTTATCTTTAGTGCCAGTGCGCGTGTCGTGCGAGGGAGTTTTGTTGTAAAATTCTTATCTTTCTTACCACTTACGTAATTATTGGATATTGCAACATTCATGATCTTTACCGCGCTGCGCTGCTGCGCGCCTCAGTGAGGGGGATATGGCCAGTATGCGCATCAGTGGGGGTGCGTAGAGCATCATCGATAGCTTATTGACAGCGACCCGCGCGTGAACGGAGACCCGGTCTCAAGGATCGCCCTGTTCGAGTGCACCTAAGTGAGCGCTCCTCACTCTCATGATGTGCAGCGGGCATGCGCGCCTCCCGGGGCGCAGAGGTGGACCGAGATCTGCGGCCGACCCTTCATCTTGGCGTAACCCCGCATCCCTTGGAGCATCTGTTGTTTGGGGCGAGGGTCAGCGAGCAGTCCACAAGGGAGGGGACGTGCGCGCCAGCAAGCGCCTTGTACGGTGATGCTCCGGCCTCGTAGCTCTTCAGGAAGGCGCGCGCGCAAACGCCGCTCGGCTGCCGATCGCTCTCCTGGAATCAAGGATTGGACTCGTCACCGCAGCTTGGGCGCTGCCTGGCCCAAGCAGAATGAAGTGGGCGAAGCAGAGTTGGAGTCCAGAAATGTGGGCCTGGGGATGCGCACGCCTCCGAGACAAAGCACACGATGGTGCCGTTGCCATCGTTGTAGTCGTACTCGGGGCTGTGATCGTCATTGCCGCCGGCGATTCGGAACGGCAAGTCGAGGACTGAAGGTAGCGGCCATTCATCGAGCAGCAGCAGCAGGGCATTCTCCTACTCGAGCAAGGGCAGTAATGATGGCCACGATGATAGAATAGGCGGGCTGGATTCACCTTGTGGATGTCAAACAGCAACAGCTGCTGGATCTGCAGCTCTGTTAGAACACCTTGCTGCTCCCAATCCCTCGGCACAATCAGGGCTCTGCCGCCGCCCTCTGCTGTGGCCTCATCAGCGCCGACGCGAAAGCCCGCCATCGTCGCCTCAGTAGCGCCGTGACCCGAGCAGCTGAGCCAACCTTGACGGTTGGGTGCCTCCCGTAGCCATTTCGAGAGCTGCTGGATTTCCTCGACAATGTTTGCTCGGTTGGACGGCGTCACCTAGCAGCGGACCCACAATTGCTCGCACGGCCACCAAGTGATGGTGGGCTCCGGAAAAAGAGTCCACCGCGTCGTCGCGGTCACTCAGGGTGATCACCTGTCCGGAAGACGGATTGGGATGAGTTCCTCTTCTCGAAGGCCCCTAGTGCTAAGCTGGTGTGCGCAAACCGGGTTGTAGCCATTTGCCGCGAGCACGCTCGCGATCGCCTTCTGGTCATTAACTCCATCCGAACCAAGCGACGTGCAGATGCAAAGCGCTCGCCTGTCCGGATTCTGCAGGGTGTTGCCCACGGGAGTCGCAGGCAGCCGCTGTCTCGATCTCTGTGCCATCTTCAACAGGTTGATCTTCTGCACGCCGCTCGCGGAAGCTGTAGCAAAAGTGCTGTTCGAGCAGCCCGTATCAAGACCTCGCGTTGTCGCAGCCGTGCTCTCTGCCTCCGCAGGAGCCGGCGAAACTCTGCCGAAAATCCTCGCAAGGGCATCTTGCGCCTTGCTCATCCATCCCGGGCCCTCGACCACTCCCTCAACCTAGGTGAAATCATCAGTGCTTAGAGAAACGGCACGCACGGCCACCCGCACGGCGGCTCGATCCCCTTCCGCGCCTCGCCAACAGCTTGGTCGGCCAAGCACTGCATCGAATCCTGCACCGCGTCCAACTGCTCGCCCGCGCCGGAAAGAAGACCAGAGAGCTTGTCCTCCGACGTCTTTGAGGCGCCGCCCACCACGACCACAGACCGGCTCGTAGAGGCCTAGGTTCGGCAGGCTGGAGCAGTTAGATCGGCCTCGGTGCAGACAATGAGTGCCGCAGCTCGCCTTGCAAGGCACTAAACGCCCGAAAGCGTCGCTCGCCTTGTCCTTGCAGCCTTTAGTGGCCGTCGGCAATGCTTCCTCCGCCATATCAAATGCCCGGCTCGTCGAGGCGTCGGCGGGGACTGGTATGTCATCAACGGCACTGCTCAGGCGCTGCTTTACGTCCTTGCTGCAGTTGAGCCGCTGCAAAGCCTCCTCGATCTTCCCTCTGCAATCTTTCGTCACGGCCTCAGGCGCTTCCGAGAGGACCGGCAGCCCCAATCCACGCGGCCTCGCTGCGCCGCTGTCATCCATCGTAGCGGCGCTGGACCCCTCCGTCGCTGCCGCCGCCGGTGCTGCTGCTGCCGCCGCCTTTTGCTTGATGAGGCTGCTGCCCCTGACGGCGCTCGGCTTCACGCTACGCCGTTTGAGCAGCTCGACCTTGCCGTCCTCAAACTTGACCATGACGCCCTCCGGTGCCGTCTTGCTCCTGGGAATCGTCTTGGTCACCTACCACGGGGTGGGGAACTAGAGAGGATCTGAGCCGTGTGAATCTCGGGCACGCGCTACGACGGCCACCTTTCCCAGCACGCTGAGGCCATCCTGTACTCGGCCGTTGTCGGGGTTGATCACCTCCACCCAGTCACCGCGCTGCAAAGTCTGCGGCTTTTCGGCCTTTCTTTGGTTAACTTGCTGCCTCTGCACGCTCACGATGTCGACACTGCCACCAGGGACCAGCTCGGCCGGCGCGGCGACCTTGCCGGTCCACACCGCGGGCACGGTGGTGATTCGGCAGAGGCTTGACGCAGGGAGCCAGACAACCTCCTTGTCGAGCTCGACCTCAACCACGCCGTCCTTGACGTCGGACACCGTGCCAGTCTTGCCGTAGTGCGGATCGTCGCAGCAAATCACCTTGACGGTGTCCCCGTCGTCGATTTGAAGGGCACATTTTGCACAGCCGGCAAGCGCGCTCCGGGGTGCGCAAGCTGCATCATTGTCGACGGAGCTGGCGGCGTCGGACGTCGAGAGTGTAATCGGCTGCACGCTTCCAAACGTCATAGCCTTAGCACGGACGCCTCCTGAGATCCCAAGGTCGACGATTGGCCCGTACTCGTCCACCTTCGTCACGGTGCCGGTCTTGCCAAAGTACTCGTCCTTTTTGCGCACTACCCTGATGGCATCGCCCGGTTTGAGCTCCACAATTCGATCCGCCTGCGAAGCCGCTACCTTGCGCAGGACTCGCGCCTCCTCCACAGCTGCCGCCGTGGTCTCTGTCACAAATCGATCCGCGGCGGCCCGTGCAGCGGCAATCTCCTTCGCCGCCGCTTCATGCGCCTTTGCTTTTGTTGTCTTTGCCTCCACCGCCGCTGCCTGCTTGGCCAACACTACCTCCTCATTCTTCACCAGCTCCCTCCCGCGCGCGTCGATCTGCTCCTCCATCGCCGCGATACTTTCCCGAAGCTTCTTCTTCTTCTTGCCTGCTGCGAAGCCGCGCGCCTTCTTGCATTCGGCCTATGTCATCAACTAGCCAGAATAGCAGCTTTGACGACACGCGGGTGCAGGGAGGTGAACTCGGGGAGGAGGCTGGGAGGGGAGTGTATCGGGATGGGCGGTATTGCCCGCAAATGCGCAGGCTGTGTGCAGTGCACCTGTAGCTCGCCGACATCCTGCTTTGCACGCAGCAGCTCCTCATTGATCTTTGAGGATTCCGCCTGTGCGGCTGAGAGACCTGCGCTGGCCTGGGATTCCATCTTATCAGCGGCTGCTGTCCTCTGGTCTGCCTTGCTGCACGCTTCTGCTACCACCGAGTCTGCTGCTTTCTGGGCATGCTCCTGTGCTGCAGCGACTCTTTCTGCTGCCCGCCACCCGGCGGCATCGAGAACGGCTTTCTTCTCCTGGATGGCGTCATGCACCACCGTGGACGACGGCGGGTCGCCCATAACGTGCCTTCCTCCCTTCCCCCTCTCCACCAGGAGGGCGAGGAGATCAGGGCGCTTCGCGCCGAATCAGCCCAGTTTTGCAACTTTTGCGTTCGTATTGGTATTCGCGAGGGCTGATTTTTTTCTCACAACAAGGTCTGTGAATATTCTTCGTTCTCCTAGGTCAGCGCCGTAAACTTCCTGAACTAGTGCTCGTCACTAAATATGTACTAAATTTGCGCTAAAGTCGCGCTATATACGCACTCGAACACACACTAAATAGCGCACTAAACTATCACTAAAGTTCATTCACACGCACTAAATTTAGACCCAGGCGCCCTCCAATTTAGTGGGTTGGCGAGAAGGGGGGGAGAGCCCAATGTGTGGTTGGTGCTCTGTTCACAGCACAGTGCGAAACTAGGGTTGCAACCTGGTAAAGAACTCGCTCGCAGAGCAGTAACGACTAACGAGGAGAGGCAAGTATGTATGACTAGGTATACAGCCCCGATGCAAGCGCCAGTGGCGTCTGCCACGAGCGGCTGAGGACGAGGGTACGGTAGTACCACCAGAGCGTCACGGCGAGGAGCGGGAGCCGCGACGGACCGTGCAGGTGGAAAACGAGGCGCAGTCGGATGTGCTGATGAAAGCGCGTGTCGAGGAGGTGTGTGAGAGGGGCTGCGGCACCGAAACCATGGCGGCGCAGGCATGTCGGCGGGTTGGGCTATGTCAAACACGATCGAGTAACCGCTTTTATATTAATTAAACGCTTTTTTTTGGGCGGGATCTATCTGCTTGCTACTTCCTTCCTTCCTATACTAGCCTTGAGTTTGAGCTGGGTCCTCAGGCGAAAATACGCGTATTACGACACTGGTAAAATTCAGGCTAGTACTTGTCATCGCAACTCCCAATCTGAAAATTGAAAACCGCGGTCGGGGCTGAGCAACGCTGATACGATGCATTGCACGGAAGAGAAAAGGCTCAAATGCCAGCCGAGAGCATCGCCGCATTGAATGCGCGTGCCACGCTTCAGTGCGATTCCTCGCCACTGCCGAGTGAACTTAGACCGGAAGAGATCCGTCAGGGCAATATCGGCGACTGCTGGCTACTGAGCGCCATTGCAGCGCTTGGAGCGCCCGTGCCATCCGGCACCTGTTCCGCGACGAGGGTTCCTGCTGCACCGTTCGCCTCTTCGATTTGCACGACTGGAGCCCCCGGGACGTCAGCAACGTTGGGGCGTCAGCACCGTCGGACAGCCTCACACCCATCGTCTGCGCTGCACCCCGGTGGGTCGCGCTGCTCGAGCAGGCGGTCGCGATCCACTGCGGTGGGTACGCAATGCTCAATGGCGGTCAACCGCCTCGAGCTTGGGCCATACTGACGGGCTACAAGCCTCAGTACACGATTAAGCTTGACCCTGCGACCAAACGCTATCAGATCGGTGGTTGGCTCAATCCAAATCAGAGCGGGAGCTGGGAGGCGCCTGGAAACTCGGCGCACTCGACCGGCTTTCGTGGGCTGTGGCCAATGGAATGGCCCGAGGTTGGCGGTGGAGGTCAGAGGGGCACTACGATTGACCGCTCGGAGCTGCTCCGCAGGAAGCCGTCGCCCGCACCACAGGAGCAGTCACACCACCACTCCCACTCCGGCGCCCACCCACTCCCCACCCCGACATCCCCACCCCACCCCACAAGCCACAACCCCGCCCCACGCAGAATGTGTTTGTGGAATGGCACCAACTTTGCCATGTGCGCAGCGAGCGACGAGGGTCCGCATGCCTTCACGGTGCTGCGCGTTTGCGGCGCAGAGGACGGTGGCTGGGTTCAACTTTTTGACCCGCTGGGTACGACGCTGAACGGGCTGGATGGGAAGGGTTACGGCAAGTTCTGGCTCGCAAGCAACACCTTCTTCGCTAAGTACAGATCAATCTACCTCTGTGCAGGGGTTTATGGCCGAGACTTCGGCATCTCGAGAGAGCCAACGCCCGCCGCCCCTGATGATAGGTCGTTGTAGCACACCCGGCTCCGGTGGCGACGGAAAACAGATCCTCTATGCCCCCCCCCCCCCGCCATCAAGCGAGAGATTTTTGAAAACTCTCTCTCTGTGGCTGTGTGGTGGGTTCGGACTGTGCTGAAGAAACGAATGAAGTTAGGAAATCGGTGGTAGTATGCTAGTATCCACATTTTTCCTCGTTTCGCCCCAAGTGAAAAACCCCTGCCGGGCGCGTCATTAAATAAATGAAACGGGGACGCGAGGAGTGGGTGGGAGAAGGACAGGAGGGTCCCGTACTAGATGTGCAGAGTGCACGCCCGCACTTCTCCCGCCAAGTTTCACAGCCCGCTGTCGGGGCACATCGCTTGGCCTCGCAGCCTGAAGCGCCTCACGGAAGCTACGCCGCCGACTCCTCCTTCGTCCGCTCCCGCTCAGCTCGCTTGTTCGTGGCGCGTTCCACGCTCCGCTCGTGTAGCCAGCGAGTGAGGTGCGGCGTCGCCCGCTCCACCTCGCCCCTACCAGACAAGGTGCGTGCCCAGTGAGCAAGTCAGGGCGCTCCCTCCGCGCACACCTCGCCGAGACTACGCCGCAGCGCCTGGCGATGGGCTCGTAGAGCGTGTCGAAGAAGGTGGCCGCGGTGAGCGCGGGCAGGATGATCGGGTCGTTGGAGAAACCGACGCCCGACTGGGGACAACGGTGGGCGTCAGGCGCTGTGGGCAGAGGGTAGTGGCTGTGCAAGTGTCACCTGGAGAAGCGGGTCCTGCGGATAGGCAAGGCAGAAGACGAGAAGATTGACCTGCCGCGCAGGGCCGGGGCGTTGATTGGAGGCGAGGCGGGCGTAGTGTGCTTCTTCCCCGGGACAGCGCGCCTTCCAGCCCGCACGGACGCCCCACTGCGGGTTGTCGATGGTAGTGAAGGTGCCCGAAACGAGGCTCGAGCCGTTGTACGGGGGCACCGGCTCCGCCTTCTCCCACGGGAAGAAGCCGCGCTTCTTCTTGGTCGCGGGCGGCGGTTGAGCGTCGGGGTCTCCCTGCCAGCCGGCCGCGACCACGTCGCTGTTGTCACTCGCGTCCTCCAGCGCGGCAAAGACAGACTGGCCGTCGCTCAGGGAGAGCCCCTCCTCCTCCTCTGGCGGCGCAAAGGAGAAGTTGTCGGAGAAGTCCATGTCCCTCCCCCCCCTCTCCATCTTCTGGCGATGGCGGCGGATGTCACCCTTGACCGCCTGGTGGGATGGTGGGCGGACGGGCGAGAGTCAGGCACACGAGGCTGGGGGCGATAGCTGAGGGCATCGGCGGCAACGACATCCGGCGAGAGAGGGTTTGGGAGCGCGACTTCTCGGCAGAGGTCGCGTCAGGGGAACGGCCTCGGAAAGTCGCCTCGTTGAGACGGCCGCTTGCCGCGCTCGAGATGAGATCGGCGGGCAGGCGGGAGGGGTTCTTCAGCCACTTTTGGATGGCCTATTGCGGGAGCTCCGAGGTCGCTGAGGGGCACGCGGCGTGTGTGCGTGGCCAGAGCCCCTCCGGGGGACCGCAATCGCGCTCGGCGTGAAGTAGTTTGTAACGTTCTTCGGGTAGGGCTCGGCAAAGATCATCTGCGACGGGACCAGAGCCAGGCCCTTTGGCCCGCCGGAGTGATGGTACGTGCCGACCGGCGTGCCCGTGTCGCTAAAGAAGCTCCCAAGCCCGTTGGCAGCGGGGTCCGAGTTGCCGTCGTTGACGAGCACTACGTCGAGCGTTTTGTCGGCGCAGTCGAGGGTCTCGTCGCCCGCCAGGCAGTCCGTAATCATTGTGGCGACGGTCATGGCGAGGGCGGTGTTGTCAACGTACACGCCGTCGATGCCGCGGTAGGAGGGGCTCCAGGCCCGCTCCTCCGACGGAGGCAGCGGCGACGAGGCCTGGCGCAGTGGGTCGGGTACCGTCGGCGTCGAGCAGTGGGCCGGCCAGTGAGCGGCGGTGGGACTAGGAGTGTACGATTCTCGAACGGTTTGCCTCGGTCCGGTTGAGCGTGACGTCGACGGCGAGGTGGTGGAGGCCGAGCGGCATGCACTCGTCCACAAATTCGCCGATGTGCTTCTCCAAAAAGGCATCGTCGCTCTTTCCCGCCGCCCACCACCGGAACTCCTCCTCAGTCGGCGCGTCCGAAGCCCTCTTGTCGAGCATGCTAAACACCTGCACACGGCTATGCATGTGAAGCAACGCTCGTCGCGGCTCGCCGCCTCTCGCGCCGGAGTCGTCCGCTCCTTGAGCATCTCCCTCGGGCCGGAGACGAGCGGGTTGCTGCGGCTCGCCTAATCTCGGGTAATCTCGGGTAATTTCGGGTACTCTCGGAGACGAGCGGGCTGCTGCGGCTCACCGCAAGCACATCCTTGAAGACCGACTTGAAGGCGGCCTTGACAATCGTGGGCGACGCCGCGGCACCTGCCGCCGCCGACGACATCGCCGTGATCTCGCTCACGTCCGCATCTCCGGGCCGCGGCCAACGCGTCCGCAGCGTGCGGTTCGCCGCCTCCTGCGCGTGGTCCTCGCCACCGCAGCAGTAGGCGAAGCACGCAGAGCCATCGTCCGCAGCAGGCTTGCCAAACATTCTGTTCATTAGGCCCGACCGGTCCTCCCCTGGGCACGAGAACCGCGCCGTCCAGCTGCAGTCGCACGTATACGGCCTCTTTGTCAGCGTGAGCCCGTCACACAGCCTGCAGACAGATCGCTTGGCGCTGTGGCGACGCGCGCTGAGGGGGTTCGGCCTCCGGGGCACACAGGGGCATCGTACACTCACCCCGGTGCGAAGAAGCCAGCAAAGCCCTCGCGACTCGAGCGCGCCTTCGCGACGTGCACGGCCGGCAGCGTGGCACCTGGGGGCACGCCCTCCGGCAACGTCAGCCGCACCAGCTGCGCGTCCTCGTCCTTGCCGACCCAGGTGTCGGGCGGAATGGCGATCTGCTGGATGAGAGCCGCCTCGGGCAAGCCCGCGCGGGGCGCGCCGTACTTGATGTCCCTGAGGCGACGGGAGGCTAGCGAGTCGGGCGACACAAGTCGCGGCTGTAAGCGTTTGGTTCTGTCGGGCGGGGCTTGGGCGCGGTCCTCCAGCCAGGGATGACGCCGCTCATCATGTTGTTGATAAAGCGGTGCCAATCCTGCGCCGGCAGGTTGGCTGCGCGAAGCAGGTTCGAGACTGCGCGCAGGAATCCCGCGAATATGTCGGTCATGCCCCTGCCGCGGCACGCGTTGTAGATGTTGACCCTACGAGACGACTCCGATCAATGCTCCGTGAGCGGTTCTACCCTTCTTTCCCGGCGAGTGGCGCTGGGCTGCGTTGTCTTGGGCCCAAAGAGAATGCCCTGCGCGTACGTCCTTCCCCACTCGGAGAAGAAGTCCTTGAGCGGGCGGAACCGCCCGTCGGCGCCCGATTGCGTGATGTCCTGGAGCGCGCGGTGGCGTGAGGCGGTGAGGAGGGCCAACCGTCGGGCGAGGCCGAGGGGCTGCACGACGGCCAAGGGTGCTTTGCCTGGAAGAATTTCCCCCCGAACGAGAATTGCGTCGCAAACCACTGCCCACCAGAGTTGCCTGAGAGGTGCCTGCACAATAGAGGCGGAGCGCGGTGTCGGGTGGGGATCAAAGAGTTGAGGAACGGGCCGCCGGCAGCGCGCACGTGAAGTCCCGCCAGTCCATGCCGACGGTGTCGTCCTTAAAGGCATGCGAGAGGGCGCGGCCGTAGGCGATGCCCGCCGTCATCGTCCGAAACCCGCCTCCGCTGACGGCCAGAGCCATTGGCCGCCGCGGTCCGCGCGGCTTTGTCGCATCCTTGGCTCTGGGCGTCAGCGGGACATCCTTGGGCTCCGGGCGGGGGTTGGCGAGGTGCAGCTGCATGTAGGTGCTGAGATACTTACCCGCTGTATCAGCGGAGAGCTGGATCTTGTCGTCATCCCCATTGATGCCCCAGATCTTCATGTCCTTGATGCCCCAGATCTTCATGTCCTTTGACCACTCCATCAGACGGGGCGCACTGTGACCGCTCCAGTGCACAGCCGCGAGCAGCACAAGTGTGAGTAGCGCGGCAAACGTGGCCGCAGCACGCCGCGCCCTCGCAGGACTCTGAGTGGCGGTGATCATGTTGCGAGCGCGTTGCTCGTCCGCCTTGATGGAGAGTGGGAGCGGGGGGCGCGTGCACGGCTTCCCAGGCGACGCTGACAATCCCCACCTGCACGAGCAGGATCTTGGAAGGACGATCATGACGATCAGGGACACAGGGGAACGGGAGCCGCGGGATTTCGCTATTTTTGAGTTCTTCTTTTTAGCTGTGCCTTTTGTGGTGCTAGTTCGTGCCAGTCTGCTGTGAGAGGGGCTTGTATTCGTAGAATTCTTTTTAGCAATACCAAACAACTCTAACACTCACACGTCATTTGGTTTGTTTGTTCTTCTTCGGGTGTACCTGTGTTAGTGCCAGTGCGCGCCAGTCCCGTGCCTACTCGAGGAGTGTGATCTCCAAAGTTCTTCTGGTTTCTCTGGTGCGCCGAGAGGGGCCTCGGTCTTGCTCACACAAAAACACAACCACGGACCCGCACAAGCTCAGTCGAGGGAGGGCGCCTGGGTCTAAATTTAGTGCGTGTGAATGAACTTTAGTGATAGTAGTGCGCTATTTAGTGCGTGTTCGAGTGCGTATTTAGTGCGTCTTTAGCGCGAATTTAGCACAAATTTAGCACAAATTTAAAACAAAGCACATATTTAGCACAAATTTAGCACAAATTTAGATCTAGCACATATTTAGCACATATTTAGCACATATTTAGTGTGTTTTATCTCCAATTTAGCGCCACATTTAGTTCACTTTAGGTGCGGGCAGCTGCAGTAAGATGTAAGTACATTTAGTGGGGGCCCCCATCTTTAGTGCGGCACGCATCTTTAGCACGGCTTCCCAGCCACACCACAGCTAGCCAGGGCCGCGTGCTTTGCTCCTTGGCTGCCAAGAATGCACCACAGGAGATGCCTGGCCCCTGCCCTCATGACCCAAAGGCAGGCTCCCAGACCCAGTGTGAGGCTAGATATGCAGCCCTCCAGAGCAAGATCTCCCGACTGAGCACCGGCACATAACCGATTCCCGAGAGGAGGACCAGCACAGTTGAATGCGCCACCGCAAGCACCACCTCCGACCGCATAACCCATGCTGTGCCCGTGACCACCAGCTGTAATAGAGTAGAGGTGAGGGTCGGTCTTGGAATTTCAAAGCCAATGTTGAACCAAAGGATGAAGGATCCAGACCACGAGGACAGAAACGGCCAAATGGCAATGATCCATGTAGTCACCGCAAGCAGCTTTACATACTCGTGTACTCGTAGCATGTTGGATCCAGCCCCAGCCATGCACCCGGAAAGCACCCCCTTGAGGTTGATATTCAGCTGAAGAACCTTCGTTCGGTTGGTTGGGGATGGGAGGCATGGCCATGGGACGGGGAACTTTTGCGAGTGGGCAGGGAACTGCAGGGGGAGAGGGGGAGGGAGGCCCAGCGAGGGTCTGCGGCTGGATCCTACTGCGCGGCTGGACTAAAGACGCACTAAACCTCGCTAAATTTGGATGTAAAGTCGCAGTGAACTCGCGCTAAATTTGCGCTAAAGTTGCGCTAAATTTGCGCTAAAGTTGCGCTGAATTTGCGCTAAAGTTGCAGTAGATAAACACTTCACACCGCACTAAATTTAGACCCAGGCGCCCTCCCAGAGAGTTGTAGAGGCTTCAGCTGCGCAATACTCTGAGTCAGACTCAGAGACGCGAGTGGTGGCAGATGCAGAGATGCAGATGGGATTTAGGGAGGCACTTAGGGGACCCCAGGAGGGTTCTGAGGGCCGGATTTTTTTAAGACCTTTTAAGAAACGAGGAGGTTTGGGGGCTTAACTTGCCATTTAAGAGATTGCAGGCACGGGGGGTCCCTCTTTTAAGACCGTTTAAGAAAATCGGCCCCTCGCCGCTCGCCGGCATGCGTCGCTGGGGTTCCGCGCCGTTTTCTCCAATTGTCCAATACTGCCGTTATTAGGCACAAACCCGCCACTGAAGACACATCTGTAAGTCTGGTGCACTGGCAGGAGCCATACTCGCATAGGGGACGCGTGCTAGCTGACTGTAGCCAGCTTCCCGGCCTACGGCGTCTACCGGGAGCCTCCGGGACCATCGACCTCGGGAGCTCTCCCGCACCGTTTAAGCGTTTAAGACCGTTTGAGGAATCGGCGGCCCAGGCAGCCTTAAAATGGGCCTAGGCCCGTTTTAAGCCGTTTAAGCCGCAGGCGCCCCAGGGCCCACCCTTTTAAGCCTAGGGGGGGAGGCATGTCCATGTGTCCCCGCCCTGCACGATCTTGAGTGTGTCTGTGAGGGGTCTTCAATATCCGTCCCCTCACCCCTGGTCACTACCCATCTGTAACAAAACATTCCGGAATGTAACAAAACAAATCCAATAGAGGGGTTGGAGGGCGGGAGAATCCAAAAAACCTAAATTCCTACCCTTTTTTTGTCTGCGCGGGCCAGTCCCGCGCCCCCAGCGGTGGTGTGTGTTGGGGAAGTGTTTTTTATTTCTTTTACCTCTAGCTCTACCGAAGCCGAGTGTACTAGTGCGTGCCAGCCGACATCCATGTAATTCTTTTCGCCTAGTCTCGTGATCGCCGGTAAAATTCTTTTTGCACGCCTGGCCCTTTTCAGGGTTCCGGCTCCTTCCCAGATAGGGGGTCTGTTCACACTGTGGCTGGCCCCATGCAATAGGTAGGTACGTCCGGTTTTGACCGCCCCAGAGGGCCCCGCAATAGGTAGGTAGGTGGTGGGGGTGGGGTGGGGGGTGGGGGTGGTGGTGGTGGTGGGGGGGGGGGGGTTAAAAAAACCGCTTCGCTCGCGCGGGAGACGGCTAGCCGCGAACGGGGCCATGCCAGACGAGTCGCCTGCGGCTGGGACGCCAGCCGAGACGGGTGCGGCGGCGGCGCCCGCGGTGGCGGCGCCCGAAAACGGGCGCTCGGAGCCTATTCACGGGAATTTTTCGCTTCGCTGCGCGGCCCCGCAATAGGTAGGTAGGTGGGCACGGAGCCTGGCGGTTGGCGCCCGCAATAGGTAGGATGAGGGCGTTTTGGCGCGACTCAAGCCAGACCCCCTATCAGGGTAGAGCCGAACCCGGGTCGATCTTCCATGCCGGACTGCCCCACCGAGATTTGCGGAGTGTGGGACCAGGATCGCTCTCGCTGCGACTCGCTCTGCCCGCTGCTCGCCGGCCTCGGCTTGCCGTCGTGGGCCCAGTCGATCGCGTGCCCTGCAGCCGACATGGTGAAGAACACACTCCGCATCTCGTGCCCCGAGCCCGGCACCGTCGAGATTGTTGACAAGACAATGTTTGGCCGGAATAGTACTCGGGTGACGCTGGATGGCGCCGAGCGCGAGGAGAAGTCGAAGGGGAGAGGCAAGGTCTTCATGCTCTCGGGCTCGCATTGTGCCGAGGGCACCGGCGCGACTCTCCACTGTCGCCTCGTGTCGCGAGGCGACGGATGGCACACGCGATCGGAGCGCTTCCTCTCCCAGGACCCTGCCGATGCAGGCCAGGTACTTGTTGAACGCCACGTTCTCGTGAGACCCGAGCAGCCCGAGATGGCGCTGCATCGCTACTACGTGAAGAGGCAGGGGGAGGACCTTCGGCCCGACCAATAAACGGGGGCAGCGCTGGGCGTGTGCACCAGGCGACGGCGATGGCTGACGACTAAAAAAACGCGAGAGGTGCTGCTCACTTCGCCTTCGGCCCCACACGGTGTGATCTTATCACTTATGATTTAGATTTTAGTCTGGAAGTCCCGCTCTTCGCGTACCGAGAACGGTCTCCACAAAGATCAAAGTCCCGATCACGTGTCCGACACTTCTACTATTAATTAGCTGAGCAGGAGAATAGCAATAGGGGAGCGAGCGATGGCGTCGGCGCGCACCGCGGCGCCGGCCGAAGACGCGCGCGCACACGCTCTCCCCGTCTCTCTTCAACCAGCAACCACTCTTCCCGCGCGCGCGCACACACACACGCGCGAGGGGCAGCGGGCAGCGGCAGGGGGGCCCGACACCACAGGCGTGGTCGGGAGCCCGCCGGGCCGGCGGGAGGCTGTGCGTGTCCGTCCACTGTGGACCCAGTGATGGCCTAGGAGCCCTGCACGGACGGTGTTTAAATGCTATATCACACCTAGGGACCGCGTGCTGTGGCCGTGGGCGGGGCGGCGACGCGAGCCGCGCATCGGCCGACAATGTGCCGGTGTACGCGTTTCGGTCACACTCAGGGCCCGTTTTGCATGACCTGCGCAGCAGCAGAGTGATCACTGTATACGACGCACTGGTCCAGGCGTCGGCCTTCGCGCTGCCGCTCTATCCTCTAAAGCAAACGCTGCTCACGGGCGGGGCGGGGGGTTGGGGGGCGGCGCGCGGGCTGCTCCTGTGCAGTCGTGCATATACGACGTTCATTCGCTGTCGATGCGCCCCGATGGACGATAATGATTAATGTTCTGCTTTTCCTTCTCCCTTGACCCTTGTACGGGGGACACCAACTCGTTCCCGTCCTACCCGAGAAGCTACGAGGCGTTCACCTTGGGATATCTCGCTGCTAGCGGGGTGACCCTGCTCGCTTGCTGCACTTGCTGCAGCCGGGGCGTCGGGCGTGCGTGCGTGCCTCCCAACCAAGGGTGAGTGCGATCACAGTCGCACCTGGCCCCGAGAGGTACGAGATGCTGGGGCGAGCCTCTGGCGAGACAGGAGAGCTGTTCCCACAGCAGGCGGAAGTACCCTCCCTCGCCACAAATTCGTACCCCGGGTACTCGTGAACGACGTGAAGGATCGGCCGCGGCGGGCACTATGCCGTGCCCTCCGTGCGCGCTGCTCCTGCTGCTCATTCGTCTAGGACCTGCATCGATGCAGGATCTGTCAATCGACTTTCGCTCTGGGGATGGGCAGATCAGCGCAAACGGAGTTCCCTTCTCTATAAAGGTTAGAGCACACGCTAACCGAAACCGAAGCAGCAGCTGACCCGACCGGTTGCTGTGCACAGGGGGTCAACTGGTTCGGAGCAGAGGGCGAGAACGGCACGGTCGAGGGTCTTACGCACGGCAGCCTCGACCGCTTTTTTGAGTTCCTGTCCACGCACAACTTCAACGCGGTCCGAATCCTCTTCAACCACCGCTCCGTGCGAGAGAACCGTCCCATCCCGGCGCGCTCCTTCAGCGCACTGCACAATCCTAGCCTGTACGACGCCATGAGCGGCAAACCTGTCGAGTACCTTCGCATGCTCGTGCTGCTCGTCGAGGCAGCTGCTCGGCGCAACGTCCTCGTGTTGATTGCATGCGGCCGGCTCGCTGCGGACTATTGGCCCGGCTCCGGCCTTTGGTATGACGACAGCAAAGGGATCAGCGAGGAGTCCGTGCTCGCAAGCTGGAGCGAGGTACTTGGCGCTACCAGCCAAATGCTCGCCGCGACATCGCCTGCACTCAGTGCGGCCACACTGCGGGCTGCCGCGGCCGGCATAGACAGCCTGACCGGCACATCGACTTGCAGCGCCGACGGTCCTCTTCCGGATGCCCCTCAGGTGGCGAGCACTCTTTGCGGCCAGTGGAATGTGTTTGCCGCCGACCTGATGAACAAGCCACACGAGGCGACGTGGGCGATGGGCAACCCGCGGACGGACTGGGATGCGGCAGCGGCTCGCATCGGCAACCACCTACTCAGCCAGTGTCCCCGTTGGATGATCTTTGTGAGCTCCACAGTCAGAGACAGCCGAGGAGTCGAGATAGCCACTCATTTAGGGGGGAGCCCCCCTGGCGAGGGCGACCCGCGAATGTCGCGAGACCCGACATACATTCAGCCCAGTTCGTCCAACCTTAGGTGGAAGGCATCGCTGTCGGTGCGGCCAACGACGGCGGGGTGTCCCGTGGCTACTTTTGGGGGGAGAACCTCCGCGGCGCGCTGCAGCACCCGGTGGTGCTGCGCGACGAGAGCAAGCTGGTCTACTCGCCCCACACATACGGCCCCTCGGTGCGCCAGCAGCATTACTTTAACCGCGCAGAGGGCTTCCCTACCAACATGCCCGACATCTGGAATCAGCACTTTCTGAATGTGCGGCGCGCGCGAGGCGAGTCAGTAGTCGTGGGCGGCTTCGGCGGCCGCTTCCAGTCCGAAGAGGACCAAAATTGGCACATCAAGGCCGTGTCCTACTTCGTGAACAACCGCGTCAGCAGCTTCTACTGTGCCCTGAACCCGACGGCTGCCGGCACGGGAGGTTTGCTCGAGGATGACTGGGCTACGCCTCGCAGCGACAAACTCGACGTCCTGTCCAGGCTGGAGAGCAGTGACGTGACGCAATTTTTACCGCCGTCGCCGCGGCCGCCGCCGCCGCCGCCGCCGTGCCTCTGGGAGCGCGACAGTCCTTGCCACTTTGCTTGCACGCTCACAAACACGGAGGCCGGATGCTCCGAGGGAGGGCGCGATCAGTTGGTCACGTCCGTCCCAGGCGGGCCGTGCTTCTACTGCGGCCACTACAACAAGGACCCCGCTGGCTGCGTGACCAAGTACTTTCAGGTGCCGGGAGTCAGCTTCATTGCCCTGAAACGGTGTGAGTTCAAGAATGGCCGCTGCCAAGCCGAATTTGAGCGGCAGATGTGCGACGGCTGGCAGGTACACCAACCCTACCCTGAATTCGCTTCTCTTGCTGCGCACGCACGCACGCACGCACGCACGCACGCACGCACGCTGTCACTCGCTCCGCATAGGTGCCGTCGCCGCTCCCTCCGCCGCCGCCACCGCCGCTCCAGCCGACTGAACGTTCCGATTCCACCCAGCTGAGGCCAAGTGATAGTGGCTCAGAGGTGCTCCTGCCCTCAGACTCGGCTAAGAGCCGAAAAATGATGATTTCCACAGAGATCAGAGTCTTGAGAAACTAGAGTTTCACAACAAACCTCCCTCGCACAACATTGGGCACGGGACTGGCGCGCACTGGCACTAACACAGGTACACCACAGAGAAACTAGAGAGGAAACGAGAGGGTGCAGAGGCCGTGCTTGGAGAATGCCCCGCAGCGCGGCTGCGCCTGTGGATTGAGCCGCAGCACAAGCTCCATTGGTGAGCTGCGGTGGCGCGACGGCCGCATCATGCATAGCTCTCCGGAGAGACGGCCGCCACGCGCTTGTTTGACGTTTCATCGTCGTATTTGCCCGAATGGTAAAATGCAATCGTCGAATTTGCCCGAGTGGTAAAGTGCAACTTTGGCATTTGGTAAAAGTTGGCCGAATGGTTTGGGGGGGGGGGAACCAAAGCGGAAGGTTGGCTCCAAGTACCAAGAGCTAAAGGTCAACATCCCCTCCGGCTACGACAATGTGAACCTGATCTGGTCCTCACGGAGTTGACCCGTTTCCTCCAGATCGAGACGGACTTCATGAACGGCCGAGCAATATTTCTTCATTAATATTATTAATTGATGCTTTTTGCACGGCTGAGCCCCCCCCCCCCCCTCCCCCGCGCCCATTGGCCCATTCCCTGCCCTCTCCCGCCACACACTCCGTCAGAGCCCTCTCCCCTCTTGCACAACAGGAATTTTGACAATTAGCCAGACGGCCCGATTGCTACAATCAAAGCGGCGCACGTATCCTCCGCCGCCCCCTCTACAGGTGAAAGACAATGCAAACTCAGAGCGATGGGCTTGCCCATGCCGCGATGCCGGAGTGGCTCGACCCCACGCAAATCCGAGACGGTGACGGGTGTTGTCTCGGTGATCTCAGGCCCAGTGAGGTAGTGCATCAGACTATCCCGGATCCTGCTGACCAAGCTCCTCTTGTAGCTCGATCGAGGAAACTCGGCAAGGACTTTCTTCGCTGGTTTCAACTGGTGAATTTTTTCTGCGGGGTTCAACTGACTGGTTCCTTCACACAAAAGCAGAACCCCGGGCCCAAAATCGCAGCACAGTGACAGTCAGACACGCACGCAACAGCGAGCGAATTTTTCTTTCGTGCGGAGGACCGCTATTTTTCGCGGTTGAACTGGGCCTTACCCGTCAGCCCTCAGCCTCCTCCATGGCGCGCAGCTCCCACCACATCGTCGCGATCGAGGGAATCGAGGGCGCGGGCAAGACGACGCTCGCTTCGGCGCTGCAGCAAGAGCTCCGCGAGGAGTACATCATGGTCTCCATGGATGTGGAGGCTCCCGCCACCGACTCGGCTGAGGACGCTGCCGAGGCTCTGCTGGTCGCCCGCTTCAAGCAGCACATGCGCGCCCTGCGCACCGCGGCGCACCGCTCGGGCGTGATCCTCGACGGATGCCTCGCCGGAGAGCTCGTTCGCGTCGAGGCGGCGCTGCGCGCCGGACGCCTTACCGAGCCGCGCGCAACGCAAATCTATTCCCTTGGCCGGCGGCTGCTGCAGCGGCTGCCCGCGCCCCACGCGCTCGTCCTTCTGGATGTGCCCGCCGAGATGCGCCTAGCTCGCACGCCGGCACCGCGCCGCCCTCTCGAGGAACTGCGCGGCGTCGAGGTCGGGCTGCGGCAGTTGGCCGGCGATCAACGTGCCGCCGGCTGCCGCGTGCTCACGCGCGACTGGCGTGCCTTTGGAAGCGTGCGGGCCATTCGCGACTTTGTCTTCTGCTTGCCGCCGGTCGTCAAGAGCTACTCCGAGGTCGCACCCCCATCCATCGCGGCCTCCGACAAGATTCTCGCCGACTTGACCAACCGGGTGTCCAAGCCGCCGCCTCTGGCGCTGCAGCCCTCGCCCGTTTCGCCCGTCTCCATCCTCGCGCCCGAGCTCGCCTAATCGCCTCGCCTCTCGCCGCGAGGCGGGCAGGCAGCAGCAGCAGCGAGAGTGGAGTTTTGACCACTACTAGACACGATCGGCGATTCCCGCTTGTTGCAGAATGCGTGCTGCGGGCAACCTTCGAGGATCGAGCACAGTGTGAGAGTGTGCGAGGTATACGACGCAGGAGCTCGCAGTGCGAGTGAGGCATCGCCTCTAGTCGGCGAGCCGTGGAGAGCGCGCTAGAGAGCGCGCACATCTGTACGTACCTCGCGTTCGGGGTCGGCATCCTTCTAACACCCTCTGTGTATACTTGTGTGTGTACAGAAAGCCTCTTCCACGGACCACGCGCAAAACTGCACCTGGATGTGGATCCCCCCGGTAGGAGGCAGGTCTGAACGGTGCCTGGCCGCCAGAAGCTCCTAGCCGATCGAGGAGAGAACGACGGCCTCGGCAGCTCAGCTCAGCCCGCGACGGCGACGATCGCCGCGGCGATGACACCGGCGTTCTGCTCGTTGACGCCCGCCATCGAAATGCGCCCGTCGCGGGTGAGGTAGACCGCATGCTCCTCCATCAGCGCGTCACACTGTGCGGCGGTGAGGCCGGTGTACGCGAACATGCCAATCTGGTCCGTCACGTGGCTCCAGTCCCGCTGCGACCCCGCCGCGCTGAGCTCCGCGACGAGCAGCGCGCGCATGTCGCTGATGCGCCGCGCCATCGACGCGCACTCGTCGTCGTACTGGGCGCGCAACGCCGCGTCGGAGAGCACCTCGTTGACGAGCAGCGCGCCGTGGATGGGCGGCGAGGAGTACATCGGACGGATCAGCAGTTTGAGCTGCGACTCGACGCGCGACGCCTCGGCCGCGTCGGCGCACACCTACGACGAGACGGCGGGCCCGCATCCCGACACGGGACGCGCCCGGCTCCTCCTGCCCTGCGTCTCTGTGGTGGCGGCGGCGCGCACCAGCGAGAGGGAGCCAACTCGCTCGCCGTAGAGCCCAAAGTTCTTCGCGAAGGACTGCGCGAGGGCGAGCGAGTGGCCCGCCTCGGCGAGGAGGGAGAGCGCCGCCGCGTCCCGCCGCGCGTCCCCGGACGCGAAGCCCTGGTACGCCATGTCGACGAGGATGTGCTGGCCGGCCGCAAGCAGCGCGTCGGAGATGCGCTTCCAGTCGGCGGCGGTGGGGTCAACGCCGGTCGGGTTGTGCGCGCACGCGTGGAGCACAAAGACCGAGCCGGCCGGCGCCTGCCCGATGTCCTCCAGCATACCCTCCACGTCGAACCGGCCGTCGGCGCCGAGGTAGCGGTACTTGCGCACCTCGAGGCCCGCAGTCTCAAAGATGGGGATGTGGTTGGGCCAGGTGGGCTCCGACACGTAGGCGGCGGTGCCCGGCGGGAGAAAGCGCGCGTAAAAGTCCGCCGCCAGGCGGCACGCGCCGGTGCCCGACAGCGTCTGGACCGCCGCAACGCGGCCCTCGCTCAGCGCCGTGCAGCCGGGCCCGTACGCAAACTCGAGCGCGCGGTCCAGGAAGGCGGGCACGCCGACGATGCTCGCGTACTCCTTGTTCTGCCCGCGCGCGATCAGCCGCTGCTCGGCCTCGCGGACCGTCGGCAACACCCACGGAGACCCGCCGCCGTCGCGGTATGCGCCGACGACGAGGTTGACCTTGTCCGCCCGCTCGTCGCGCTGGAAGGCCTGTGCGATGCCGAGGATCTTGTCCGCTGCACCCTGCGGCACCTTCGAGAGGTACGAGCTCAGAACCACGCCCGCGGCGGCGTGGAGCAGCAGCAGCCCCCCAACCATTTCGAAGTGGTGAATTCTCGGTCCGGGTTCGTTCCACGGGTCGTTCCACGTCGCGTTAAAAGAAAGAAAGAAAGAACACACACAACGCCCACGTCGCGTTGTCTGAAGCTTTGTGCCGCTGAGATTTCTTTTTCTTAGCGACCAGACAGATCTGGATGACGGGCTTCATCAGGCAGGCGTACACCTTCCTGCCAATGTCCATGCTCCATGCACCAATGTCGAGCACGAGCCTCGGGAGCTCTGGTGGACGGCCCTGACTATCCCTGACACACAGAGAGCTCACTCTGACGGCACACAACACCCTATGACTGCGTCATGACCAGCCTGCCATGCCGCATGCGTCGCCGGTGCCGCATTCGTCGCTGTGCTTCTTTAGCAGGCGGTGGACTGTCCTCTGGGGGGAGGCGAGGGCCCTAGGGGGTACCCATGCGGGGGGGGAGATGGGGTCCCCCAGCCCGCCGCAGGCGCCGATTTTTTTGGCATTTTTTCTTTTTCGCGCAATTTTTTACTTGTTTTCATGGGAATTCGGCGTACTTGCGGCCATGCTATCACGCCTTGCGACATCCTTTCGGCGCTGCTGACCGTGCCATGCTGCTCAACTGACCGCCTGCATAGCTCGCGGCCTTAGTCTTCGGCATTCAGTGACGACCTGATCGTACGGCCAGTAGGAAGGTGTCCTTCCAGCTGCGTGCACGCTTCTGACGCAATGCGCGTCACAAACTGCCTCGGATTGGCTGCTGGCACTCTCGAGGCTATGCCTACACAGCCTCGCGCGCATGGGCAGTCAAGAGGGACCATGCACCTTCTCAGGACAGCGCCGGTGCCTCTCTCTTGGACCGGCAAACGTGGTGGTCTCGTGTCACCGATGTGGGACCAGTGCGGCATCGCGCCATCGACAGCTCTTGAACTGCGCCTCACCACTGACCGGGAAGGCCGCCAAGTGGGTCAGCACCGGTCGCACATTGTGGCAGCAGTCAGCAGCCCATGTCTGATAGCTAGAGCAGCAGCGTCAGGGTCGCAGGGTCGGATCGTGTCAAGCCTCTCGCCCGGCCGGCCGCGTGCAGACGTCGGCTTGTCTGCTGTCTGGAGTGATCTGTCGGCGGTCAGTACGACCGATCAGGTCGGAGTTTTCTGATGGTTGGAGGGTCTATCTGTATGTACTCTTCGAGATCTCTCCAAATCTGCCCTCTAACCAACCGTAACCATTCGGGAAGTCGGTGCTAATAGAGACTAATAGAGCCGGCCCCGTTTCCGCACTGCTGCGCGGCGCACGGTGCCTCCGGGGGCCCCCGCCTCCCCCCAGAGGGACTGTCGGCTGCGAGGACGGTCGCATTTGCGCGAGGCGAGCAGGAGGCGAGGCGAGCATTGCTGCGCGTTGCATGCGCCATGACTCGCGCGCGCCAGCGGGCGTGCGGGAGCTCCTGGCTGAGCGTTGAGTGCAGGCGAGTTGCGCTGGCCACTATCGCTACGCCGAGCCGAGCTGACGCGCCGAGGCGCCGGCCAGTCGCAGCCGTGAGGCATGCCACAGCAGCAGAGGCACCTGCCACCCATTAAGCGGGCAGACAGAAGGCCAGGGCAGCACTGGCAAGTGCAACGCGCCTCATGTCGGAGAGCGACCGTGCCTCGTTCGCGCTTATGATGTTTTCGTAGAGTTTGTTGTGGATATTTCACGTTGTAGAGCGCCTCTACATCGCTCTACATCTGCATTGCCAGTGCATTGCTCTGTCCCGCGCCGGATGTAGTTCACGATGTAGAGCTCTACAGCTCTACAGCGCTCCAGAGCGCTCTACATCTCTACAGCTCTACAGCGCTCTACACTCTACATCCTCTACCCCTCCCTCAGCCCCCCCTCACCCTCGCCCTCACCCTCGCCCTCACCCTCGCCCTAGCCCTCGCCCTCGCTCGCCCTCGCCCTCACTCACTCACTCACCCTCACCCTCCCTCACCCTCGCTCGCCCTCACCCCTCGCCCTCGTCCTTGGACCTCGCCTTGGTCCTGGCCCTCCCTATGTATGTCTGTATGTATGTAGGTGAAGAACAGTCAGTCAATACACACATCGCGGCGCAACAGCCCAAGTTCCCTCCAACCACAGCCGAACAAAGGGAAAAAAATCGCCCACGGCCCCGCCGTGGCGCGGAACGGCACCTCCGACCCAATGACTCCCGCTCCTCTTCCCGTTGTGCTTGTCGTCGGCTCTGGGGCAAGGGAGCACTCCATCGCGGCTGCGCTCACCCGCCACTGCGCGGGTCGCACGCCCAAGCTCCTCTGCTTCGGCTCCGCCCGCAACCCCGGCATCCAGGCGCTCTGCGCGGCGTACGAGGTGGGCAAGATGGACGACTGCGCCCGAGTGGCCGACTTCGCGGCGAAGCACGGCGCGACGCTCGCCGTGATCGGTCCCGAGGCGCCGCTCGACGCCGGCGTCGCCGACGCGCTGCGCGCCGTCGGCGTCGCGGTGGTCGGCCCCTCCAAGGCGCTCTCGGCGATCGAGGGCTCCAAGGCCTTTGCGCTCAAGCTGCTGCACAAGCACGGCATGGCGGGGCTGCCCGACTTTCGCGAGTTCACCGCGATGGAGGGCGCGCGCGAGTACCTCGAGGAGCTGGGCGAGGGCAACTACGTGATCAAGGCCGACGGCCTCTGCGGTGGCAAGGGCGTCAAGGTGGCCGGCGCGCACCTCGCGTCCATCGACGAGGCGGTCGAGTACTGCCGCGAGTGCCTGCCGCACTTTGTGATCTGCGAGAAGCTGGTCGGGCAGGAGTTCTCGCTGCTCTCGCTCTCGGACGGCGCCCACCTCGTGCACATGCCGCCGCTGCAGGACCACAAGCGCGCATACGAGGGCGACAAGGGGCCCAACACGGGCGGCATGGGCTCCTACTCTTGCGCCGACCACCTGCTCCCCTTCCTCTCCGATGCGGCGCTCGAGGCGGCCAAGAAGATGCAGGCCGAGACGATCGTCGCCCTCAAGGCCGAGACGGGCGAGCCCTACCGCGGCGTCCTCTACGGCGGGTACATGCTTACCGCGCGCGGCACGTACCTCATCGAGTACAACGCGCGCTTCGGCGACCCGGAGTGCCTCAACGTGCTCTCGCTGCTCGACCCGGCGGCCGACTTCCTCGGCGCGTGCGAGGCGGCCGCCGCGGGCAAGGGGCTCGCGCAGGTGTCGCTGCCGTTCCGCAGGCTCGCATCGTGCTGCAAGTACGCCGTGCCCGAGGGCTACCCCAACCGGTCCGAAAAGGGCTTCGTCGTCGACCTGTCGGGGCTGCAGCGGCCGCACCTCGCCTACCTGGGCGCCGTCGACGCGGACCCGAAGAGCGGCTCGCTCATCGCCACCGGCTCGCGCACCGTCGGCGTCGTCGGCGTCGCCGAGACGCTGGAGGAGGCGGAGGCGCTCGCCGAGGCCGAGGTGACGGCGATCAAGGGCAAGCTCTTCCACCGGCGGGACGTGGGGACGGCGGCACTGGTCAACTCGCGCGTCGCGCAGATGCTCTCCATCCAGGCGCGCGGCGCGCGCGAGCAGCCGATCTCCATCGCCGTCCTCGGCTCCACCCGCGGCTCCTCCCTCCAGCCCGTGCTGCGCGCCCTCGCCTCGGGAGCGCTGCAGGGCGCGCGCATCGCGCTCGTCGTCTCGAACAAGGAGGACGCGCCGATCCTCGAGCGGGCGCGGCAGCACGGGATCCGCGCGCTGCACGTGCCCGTGCAGGGCCGGTCCCGCGAGGCGTACGACGCGGCGGTGACCTCCGCACTCGAGGCTGCCGGCGTGCAGGCGGTGCTGCTGGTCGGATACATGCGCATCCTCTCGGCGCAGTTTTGCGAGCGGTGGGCCAAGCGGTGCGTCAACATCCACCCGTCGCTCCTGCCTGCCTTTGCCGGCGGCATGGACTTGCAGGTGCACGAGGCGGTCCTCGCCGCGGGCGCCAAGGAGACGGGCTGCACCGTCCACTACGTCGAGGCGGAGGTTGACGCCGGCGCCCCGGTCGTGCAGCGCAAGTGCGCCGTCCAGCCGGACGACACGCCCCTCTCGCTCAAGGCGCGCGTGCAGGCGCTCGAGGGACCCGCGCTCTGCGACGCCGTCTCCAAGCTCGTCGCCGACGTCCGCGCCGGCCGCGACGCCGCCGTCGCCGCGTCCACCTCCTCCTCGGACGGCACCGCCGCCGCCGCCCTCACCTACGCCTCGGCGGGAGTGTCGATCGACGCGGGCAACGCGCTCGTGGACGACATCAAGCCGCTCGCAAAGGCGACCAACCGCGCCGGCGTGATGGGGTCGATCGGCGGGTTCGGTGGGCTCTTCGACACGCGCGCGGCGGGGTACAAGGACCCGGTCCTCGTTTCGGGCACCGACGGAGTCGGGACTAAGCTGATCATCGCTCAGGCCACCGGCAAGCACGGGTCCATCGGCATCGACCTGGTGGCGATGGTGGTCAACGACCTGATCGTGCAGGGCGCGGAGCCTCTCTTCTTCCTCGACTACTTCGCCTCGGGCGCCCTCGACGTCAAGTGCGCCGGCGAGGTCGTGGGCGGCATCGCGCGCGGCTGTGCAGCGTGCGGCTGTGCGCTCGTCGGCGGCGAAACGGCCGAGATGCCGGGCATGTACGCGCCCGGTCACTACGACCTGGCCGGGTTCGCCGTCGGCGCCGTGGAGCGCGCTGACATCTTGCCCCGCCTCGAAGAGATCGCTCCCGGAGACGTGCGCGCGCTGGTGGCTCGTGCTCTCCCCCTCCCGCGGCCGCCTGAGCCACGGTCGCCCCGCAGGTGCTCATCGGCCTCGGCTCGTCGGGCGTGCACTCGAACGGCTTCTCGCTCGTGCGGCGCGTCGTCGAGCGGTCCGGCCTCTCGTGGGACGCGCCGGCGCCCTTCGCTGCGGGAGCGACGCTCGCCGACGCGCTCCTTACGCCGACCAAGCTCTACGTCAAGAGTTGCCTCGCCGCCACGAGGACGCGCAAGGTCAAGGCGCTCGCGCACATCACCGGCGGTGGCCTGCCCGAGAACCTGCCGCGCGTCCTCCCCGCGGGTGTCCGCGCCTCGGTCGACGCGACGGCGTGGACCCCGCCCGCCGTGTTTGGCTGGATGGCGGGCGTCTCGCGCGCCCCCGTCGAGGAGCTTCTGCGCACCTTCAACTGCGGCGTCGGCATGGTGCTCGTCGTCTCGCCGGCCGACGCGACGGCGCTGGTCGACATCCTCCGCGCCGAGGGCGAGACGGCGGCCGTGATTGGCAAGCTTGAGGCGCACACTGAGGGCGCCGGCCCGCAAGTGTCCGTCACGGGCACCGAGGCATGGGGCTGGGCCTAGAAGGGGCATCGCCCCACCCCCAAACGCGGCGGGGCCGAGCTCTCCCTCCGATCTGGCCTCACCGTGCATCCCAGCATTGCCCCTCCGGTCCCCGCGGGCCGCTAGCTACCCACGCGCGTCCGAGAAGGGTCCGGCGCGGCGGCGGGAAGCGGTCACATCTCCGCGGTTTCGCAGTCCCCCGGAGGAGCGCAAAAAGGGGGACACTTCACCTTCAACCTATGCGCAAACCCCACTCCTCGGATATTTTTCTGACTTCCTTAAAATGACGAACGCCGATTCATTGGTTTCCGTACGCACACAAGGCCACGGACAACGAACCACACAGTCACACCTTTTTTCTGCTTTGCTTGCAGTGTATACGCACGCCAGCGTTCGCCAGCCAAGCGCAAGCGCGCGGCTTCAGCGCTCAAACTGCCGCTTGACGGTGACGCCCTCTCCACGCGTGACGAGGTAGAAGTCGTCTTCGTACCACACCCCCGGGCCCGGGGATATGGTCACCAAATCGCCCGTCTCGTCGGTCCAGTCGTCGCCGTCGTTGGTCGACCGCCACACCGCCGTGCCGTACTCGCCCCGGCCGATTGCGCCGAGGTCGGCTCCGTGCAAAACGAGCGTGCGGCCAGACCACGACAGGCTGCCGTCGAGCGTCGCGCCGTGCTTGAAGAGATGCGCGCAACCGCCGAGCTCGTGCCACGACTGGCCACCGTCGGTAGTGCGGAGAGGGACCGCGCCGACACGAGTCAAAAACATGACTCTGGTGTTGACGACGAGCAGCTGGTGGAGGCGACCCGTCAGCCCCGCCGCTTGGCTGCACGGCGACCAGCTTCGGCCTTGGTCGCTGCTGACGGAGAGGCAGTCCGCGTTGAAGGCGTATAGCCCGTTGCCCGTCGGGTCCACCTCGAGGCCGGTCGGCTGCAGCGACGGCTGCAGCGGCGCCCAACTCCACGAGCCGCCTATGGGCGCGCCGCGGAAGCGTCTGGAGAGGCGACCCTTACCGTGCCCGACTCTTTGCGGGGGGGGAGGCGTGTGCCAAAATCGCTGCTCGTCATCAGGTGCACCACCGAGCCAGCGCGGGGCGGCGGAAGCAGTCCTGGGCTGTACAGCTGCGGCCCGCCCGCCGCCTCCTCGTCCTCGCCCGCCTCTTCCTGCTCGTCGTCCAACTCTGGAGAGTAGTCGCGGTCGGGAGAAGACGCGCCGCCGCCGCCGCCGCCGGCGCCGCCCGCCGAGGAGCGACTGCGGCCGCGCAAGACCTGGCCGGCGGGAGCGCTGAACAGGGCAAAGCACGCGCCCGCAGGCTCGGTCCGCGAGCCGGGCTGCCGCACATACACAAAGGCGCCCATGGGGGCGGGCAAGTTGCCGCGCGCCCAGTTGCGCCCCCCATCGGACGAGTTGTAAAAGTGGTTCCTGTGGAACATGATCGCCTTGCGAGAGCGGCCCATGCCCTGGCCGCCGCCGCCCTCCCCGCAAGAGCCCGGCGACGCCTCGCCCTTTGTCCAGCCAGCCCACGTGGCGCCGTCGTCCCACGAGGCGCCGACGTTCCAGTCCCAGAGGTTGACCACGAGGCTCCGCGAGCCCTGCTCGTTTGGCGAGAGGATGGCGGAGAGGGCCATGGTGTTGCGCATGTCGCCGACCGCCGAGGTGAGGTTGTCGGAGGAGCGGTTGAGGATGTGGAGTCCCTGGTCCGAGGGGAAGGCGATCCTACAGCAGGCCGACTTCCGGCTCACACATCCGTCCCCGCGGCGCGCTCCGAGGCCGGAGGCTCAGCGGTGGCGGGGCGGGCGGCGGGGGGGGGGGGGGGGTTGGGAGGAGACAACGCGCCCGTCGCCGCGAAAGTCGGGCACGCGCTGGTAGTCGTGCGGCACGCGGTCGATCCGCCGGCCTGCGGACCAGAGCGCGAGGCGCGATGGCGGCGTGGTCCAAGGGTGCCCACCGTCGCGTGAGTGCATCTCTCCTCTCCTCTCCTCTCCTCTCCTCTCCTCTCCTCTCCTCTCCTCTCCTCTCCTCTCCTCCCCTCTCCTCTCCTCTTCTCTCCTCTCCTCTTCTCTCGCCCCCCCGCGTTGCCCACCGTCGCGCGAGTGCATCACGACGTGCAGCGCCTCCCACCCGACACCGCCATCCCGCGAGACAAAGGCGCCGTCTTGGGTTGCTGTGTAGTACCAGCCCTGAGTGGCGGCGGAGGAGGGAGTGGAGTCGCTCGAGTGCGGGTGTGGCGGCGGGGGTCTGCGAGGTGAAGGCGGCCGAGAGGGCGGCCTGTGCGCGCCTGCGAGTCGATGAGGACAAAGAAGGCGCCCACGTCGTGGCTTGCGACCCGGCTCACCTAATCTCGGGCAATCTCTGCCCCTCTCGGCTTATCCCGGCCCCTGATGTGTCTATCCCGGCCCCTCTCGGCCCCTCTCGGCCCCTCTCGGCCCCTCTCGGCCCCTCTCGGCCCCTCTCGGCCCCTCTCGGCCCCTCTCGGGCCCTCTCGGCCCCTCTCGGCCCCTCTCGGCCCCTCTCGGCCCCTCTCGGGCCCTTTCGAGATGAACTCGCACTCGGGCCATCTCGGGTCCTCTCGGGTCCTCTCACCGTCCGTCCCCCGTCCCTCGACTCGTAGGTGCGGAACTCGCCGCCGCGCGAAAAGAGGAAGTGGTCGCGGTCGCGCGGGTCGACGGCCGCGTTCGAGCAGTCGATCTCCTCGCCTGCGACGAGTCCCGGGGCGCGCCCAGACGCGACGCCCTTCTGCGGGTGGAGGTCGAAGGGTCCGAAGGCGGAGAGGGCGTAGCAGTGGCCGGCGTAGCCGCCGAGTGTCGGGTCCTTTGACTGGTACGTGTAGCCGCGTGGCGGGGGCGACGTCTTGTTCACAGCCGCCTGACACCCGCCGAGCGTGTCGAAGACGCCGATCGGTCGCACGCCTGAGGGGTGAGCTCAGAGCATCGCGTGGATACACGGGCAGTTCGCGCACCGCTGAACACAGCTGAACACAGCTGAACACAGCCGAACATGTGTCCACTCTGAAGGTCGGAATGCGTGGATCAGTACTCGCCCCATCTAGAGCTGCACGCCCTCGCCGCAGGCAGTGGGGCTGCTGCACCGCCCGAAGATGAGGCTCTGGCCGGGGTAGGTCGCCCACCCGGTGTAGTTACGGTCGGGGAGCTTGAGCGGCCCGCTCCACGTCGCGCGCGTCGGAGCGTCGAGGGAGGCGTAGTAGAGCTTCCCGCCTCCCCAGCCTCCGATGCAGGTGAGCACTTCGGTGCGCCCGCCGGTCGTCACCACGCTCAGGTGGCCGTTGTTTGCGATCCCGCCCGGGCTCTCGATGCGCTGCCACGCGGAAAAGGCCTTGGCCGCGCGCCTATTGCAAGAGGATCAAGAGGTGTCGAGGTGGTGTCGAGCGGTGTCGAGCGGTGTGGATGTGAGCCCAGCAGCTCTGCATGCCTCTGGCACCGATTGGTGGGGCTCCTGGTTCACTCCCGTTTGCCCCCAGCGTGGAGTGCGCCAGTCTGTCGCCCCAGTGCGCGTGCGTGCCCCCGCCACACGTCTCGCTAGTGGCGCAACAAGTTTCTCACTAGAGAGTGCCGGCGCGTGAGGATGCCGTGCTCCGAGTTTGCGAGCAGGTACGGCTCGCCGCCGATGAGGCCCGCGCGAAAGCTCGTGACGAAGCCCCACGCCGCGGTCTCCTTGCACAGCGTCCAGGAGGCCGCCCCGTCGGTGGACTCGTAGACGCCGCTGTGCGTGCCGGCAAACACGTGATTTCCCGTGGGGGCATCGGGGTGGAGCCAGACGCCGAGGATGCGCGTGTCCCACAGCCCTTTGCTGTTGCGCGTCCAGTGCTTGCCTCCGTCGACGCTCTTGATGATGCCGCTCGACACACCGTTGTTCTGTCCGCCCGCGTAGATGAGGTCTGGGTTTTTAGCCGGCGATGCCGCGCACGCGAGCGTGCCCGCCTCGCCCTTGCCGTTTTGGTCATCAAAGATGTTCCAAGGACCGATGCGTGCCCAATCGGCTCCGGCGGCGAAGGCGCCGACCGGGAGGAGGACAATCTTAAGCATTGCCGGAAGAGACCCAGGGAGGAGCAGCGTGAGCAAGACCGAGCGCTGACTTCTGACTGCGTCCCTTCCCTTGTGCTCCCGGGACCGGAGCAAGACCGAGGCCCCTCTCGGCGCACCAGAGAAACCAGAAGACCTTGGGCGATCACACTACTCGAGTAGGCACGGGACTGGCGCGCACTGGCACTAACACAGGTACACCCGAAGAACAAGTGAGTGTTAGAGTTGTTTGGTATTGTATTGCTAAAAATCTCTCTCCCGAAGAAGAACTCAAGCAGGCTTCCGAAAAAAGAACGAAATCCGGCTGCTCCCGTTCCCCTGTGTCCCTGATCGTCCTTCCAAGATCCTGCTCGTGCAGGTGGGGACCACCCTCCTGTCCTTCTCCCACCCACTCCTCGCGTGCCCGTTTTATTTATTTAATGACGCTCCCGGCAGGGGTTTTTCACTTGGGGCGAAACGAGGAAAAATGTGGATACTAGCATACTACCACCGATTTCCTAACTTCATTTTCTTCAGCACAGTCCGAACCCACCACACAGCCACAGAGAGAGAGAGTTTTCAAAAATCTCTCGCTTGATGGCGCGGGGGGGGGGGGGGGGGGGGCATAGAGGATCTGTTTTCCGTCGCCACCGGAGCCGGGTGTGCTACAACGACCTATCATCAGGGGCGGCGGGCGTTGGCTCTCTCGAGATGCCGAAGTCTCGGCCATAAACCCCTGCACAGAGGTAGATTGATCTGTACTTAGCGAAGAAGGTGTTGCTTGCGAGCCAGAACTTGCCGTAACCCTTCCCATCCAGCCCGTTCAGCGTCGTACCCAGCGGGTCAAAAAGTTGAACCCAGCCACCGTCCTCTGCGCCGCAAACGCGCAGCACCGTGAAGGCATGCGGACCCTCGTCGCTCGCTGCGCACATGGCAAAGTTGGTGCCATTCCACAAACACATTCTGCGTGGGGCGGGGTTGTGGCTTGTGGGGTGGGGTGGGGATGTCGGGGTGGGGAGTGGGTGGGCGCCGGAGTGGGAGTGGTGGTGTGACTGCTCCTGTGGTGCGGGCGACGGCTTCCTGCGGAGCAGCTCCGAGCGGTCAATCGTAGTGCCCCTCTGACCTCCACCGCCAACCTCGGGCCATTCCATTGGCCACAGCCCACGAAAGCCGGTCGAGTGCGCCGAGTTTCCAGGCGCCTCCCAGCTCCCGCTCTGATTTGGATTGAGCCAACCACCGATCTGATAGCGTTTGGTCGCAGGGTCAAGCTTAATCGTGTACTGGGGCTTGTAGCCCGTCAGTATGGCCCAAGCTCGAGGCGGTTGACCGCCATTGAGCATTGCGTACCCACCGCAGTGGATCGCGACCGCCTGCTCGAGCAGCGCGACCCACCGGGGTGCAGCGCAGACGATGGGTGTGAGGCTGTCCGACGGTGCTGACGCCCCAACGTTGCTGACGTCCCGGGGGCTCCAGTCGTGCAAATCGAAGAGGCGAACGGTGCAGCAGGAACCCTCGTCGCGGAACAGGTGCCGGATGGCACGGGGGTCGTGCGCTCCAAGCGCTGCAATGGCGCTCAGTAGCCAGCAGTCGCCGATATTGCCCTGACGGATCTCTTCCGGTCTAAGTTCACTCGGCAGTGGCGAGGAATCGCACTGAAGCGTGGCACGCGCATTCAATGCGGCGATGCTCTCGGCTGGCACTCGCTTGAGCCTTTTCTCTTCCGTGCAATGCATCGTATCAGCGTTGCTCAGCCCGAACCGCGGTTTTCAATTTTCAGATTGGGAGTTGCGATGACAAGTACTAGCCTGAATTAAAAAGTGTCGTAATACGCGTATTTTCGCCTGAGGACCCAGCTCAAACTCAAGGCTAGTATAGGAAGGAAGGAAGTAGCTAGATAGATAGATCCCGCCCCCCCCAAAAAAATCCCTGTCAGCAGTCCTCCTCCGGGAATGTACGTACGTACGTTTAGCTGACTGGGAGAATGTACGTAAGAGCCACATACATTGAAAATGCCACGTTCGGATCGCTCCTCATCGCAAATTGGGCTCAACAGTTTTCCGGAAAACAAAAAGGAAAACAGAGGGTCCCCAGCACTTTGCGTTTCCGGAAATTTCCAGGGAAAACAGAGGGTGTTTGGTGCTCCATTCTGGAAACTCGCGAGTTTCCCTGAGTCTGAGAGCTGGTCTGGGGCAAAATCTGAGGCAAAATTGAGGAAATCGACAAAATACCCAGGCGGTCGCAGGGGTAATTTCCAGGTATACACGCAACACGGGTTCTCCGCGAAATTCCCGGCATTTTGCCGATTTGGCCTAAAATTTGGCTGATTTTGGGCCCAAACCAGCCTCAGACTCGGCATTCTCGGCTCAGAGCCAAAAATTTGACGATTTCCACGCAGTTTTCCCGGGAAAAAAGGAAAGGAAAACAGACGGGGTGCGAGAGGCAAACCTGGTTGAGCCCAAATCCTAGCCCAAATCGCAAACCCTGTCAGCAGTTCACCCTCGGGTATGTTCGTAAGAGCTACATACACTGAAAAAGAAGCGGTTACTCGATCGTGTTTGACATAGCCCAACCCGCCGACATGCCTGCGCCGCCATGGTTTCGGTGCCGCAGCCCCTCTCACACAGCCGCTTCTTCTCCTCGACACACACGCGCTTTCAGCACACCCGACTGCGCCTCGTTTTCCACCTGCACGGTCCGTCGCCCTCGCCGTGACGCTCTGGTGGTACTACCCCGCACCCTCGTCCTCAGCCGCTCGAAGCAGACGCCACTGGCGCTTGCATCGGGGCTGTATACCTAGCCATACATACTTTCCTCGGTTGGTTTTACTCATTACATGCTCTGTGAGCGCAACCACGGCTGTGGATGGGCCACGTCCGCACGCGGCCGGGGCACCGCCCCGCCCCCCCCCCGGCGCCTTGCGCTTGCCCGCGCCGGCGGGCGCCTCCATCTTTGCCGCCTGCTCCGCGCTGAGGCGCAGGCCGCGCGTGTCGACGTAAAAGTCCTGCGGCGTCTCCAGCCAGCGGAACAATGTACGACGTCGTCGAACACAAGTGGAGAATGGCCGTAGCGCCTCTCCACGAGCGATTCAGAGGACGTACCAAGTGTCGATTCTGTATAGAATGGCGAGGCGCACACGCTGGTGTAGGCGGCGAGTCGTCGATCCGACTCGTTCCGCCGTAAAGTCGCCGTGAAGGATGTTGGCGAACAGTTGGCCCACATTTTGCCCTCTCGCGCGATCTTCTCGCGTCGGCAAGCGCGCGGGCCAGGATGGGCGAGCCGGTCCCGCCACGCTGGACGGGCCAGCGGCTGGCACGCGCCGGCCACCCCGGCGGCGCGGCGGCCTCATCGCGCTCGTCGTCTGCGAGGCCACCGCTCGGCGTCGCCGCGTCCGACGGCGATGGCGCTTGGCTGTGAGGTGGGATGGCGGCATGGTGCGCGTGGACGTGGGGGTGGTGCGGGATGCGCGTGCCAGCAAGCATAGTTTCACCTCAACCCTACCAGCAGGCGCGCCGACGTGCTGCCCGAGCGCGTTTGGAGGCAGCAGCTGCTCCTCGCGAGGCGCCTTCGGAGGGGTGTGGCACCCCTTTCCCAGCCGCGCGCGAGTTGAGCTCCGATTTACGCTCTTTTTCGCACACGCCCGACGCTAGTAGGTGAGGATCGACCATCCTCCGCTAGCAGGGCTTCGTCGGGCGCGTCTTCGTCGAGCGGTGGTGCATCTCCCATGCTCCCACCCGCGCCCTCCTCGCAGCCCGCCCGCGGCCCACACCGACGCCCTCACGGGCTCACCCTAGTCTTGGAGCACTTGGAGTGCAGTCATTAGCCTCACATCCAGGGCCGGGGAGCTAAGAAGCGCACCCAGCGGGCCGGATGATCGGGATCGGGTTGCGGGCAAGAGAGCCCTAGCCCCGGGGGTGCGCGTTCGCAGGGAAGAGGCCTTGAAATCTGGTTTTTTTCGTGTCCCCCGGGGCGCTGGGGCTTGTCGCCGGGCGAGCTAGCCCCTCAGCCGCGGAGCGGAGGTGCGAAATCGAGGCGGCGCGGCCCCTGCGCGCAGCCTGTCCGGCCGGCGCGCGCATGGTTCCGTAGCCCGTCTAGTGCCTCACTGCCGACTCCAGCGCCACGGTGTACGTGGCCGGTGTGGTACTGGGGCTGGGAAGCCTTGGGGCCGGCGGAGACCGCCGTCTAGCTCGCTGCCCAGTCGGCACCGGCGTGGATCTGGCGAGCAGCAGCTCAGAGCTCGAGCTCGGTGTTGCACTCAGAAGCCTCTGACAGGAGGACCCGCACATCGACCTGGCGCAGAATTCAGGAGTGGATCGGCGGCGGTGGCCAGGTCGATGCTGCGCGACCCCGAATCGCCGCGCCGGGTAACCCTGCTGATGACCGCCGCCGCGCATGGCCAAGCCCACCTTATGCAGGAGCTGCTACTGTGCGGCGCCGACCCCAACGTGGAGGACTCGCAGGGTCGCACTGCGCTCTTTCACGCCGCCAAGCATGGAATGTTGCCGTCCGTCCTGGAGCTGAAGGACCGGAAGGTGAGGGAGACGGTGAGGTTTGACCACCGGGACTGCGAGGGCTACACCGCCGCGATCGTCGCCGCCGCTAATGGGAAGAGGGTGGTCGCCCAGGCGCTGCTAAACGCCGGCGCGTCGGTTGACTTTCCGGAGGGCAGCCTCAGCGCCGGCGCGCGAGAGGGACTGAAGCAGCTGCGGAAGATGAAGGCGGGCCTGGACAGGCACAGGCAGCGTCAACAGGCCAAGAACCGGGCGGCCGCTTCCGGCCGGCACCACGTGCGTCTCCCACCCCCCTCAGCATTAGGACGCGCTCGAGCCCATTCTTCCGCGCCCCACCACGCTCCGCCCTCACGCGGCAACGCCTCGCCTCCGCCACCGATCGCAGGCGGCCGGGGCGGCGCGCGCCAGCGGAGAGGGCGAGGTCAAGGCCAGGCCCTCCGCCGGCGCGTCGGGACGAGGCAGCTCGGCCGGCGCCGCGAGCAGCAGCTCGGACGGCCGCCTCGGAAGGGCGGCCTGCCGACGCGGACGGCGACGGCGGCGGAGCATCGGGAGTAGAGGTCGGCGAGGAGGAGCTGCGACATCTCGTCGATTGCGTGGGCCGGCTCCCTCCCCTCGAGGCGCGCCGCCGCGCCGGCGGGTCCGCCGCTGCCGACGCGGGCGAGGCGGCGGCGCCGCCGCCGCCGCCGCCGCCGCCGCTCAGGCGGTTCTCGCGTCAGCCGCGAGCGACCGCTTCGGCGAGGGCGGCGCCCCCGCCCCGCGGGAGGTCCACCCGCCCCGGCGGCGGGACCAGCGCGAGCCCGACTCGTGCAGGCCGGCGTGCGACGAGGAGGGGGTGGGGAGGGGGGCGGCGGGCGCGCTCCGCTTTACGCCAGGCGAGCGCGTGCTCTGCCGCCGCGCCGCGCCCTCGGAGCACGGCGGCGCCGAGCCGCTCGCCACCGGGGAGGCTCCGGACGGGTGGGAGGCTGGCCGGGTGACGCAGGTCTGGCCGTCACGTCTGGCTCGCGGGGGGCGGCACGCGCCGTACCAGGTGCTGCTCCTCGACGGCAGGTACGTGTACCCGCCGGCAGACAGCGACAGCTGCATCCGCCGCACGCCGGACGAGGCGGACTCTCGGGGACCGGCCGGCGGCGCCGGGGCCGGCGGGCGCTGCGGCCGGCGCGACGCGGAGTGTCCGTGGCGAGGCGGCGGACGCCGTCCTCAAGGCTGATGAGGTGGAGGCTTTGCTGTCGCTGGGGGGCGAGGACCTCTTGCGCCGCGCTGCGGAGGAGTGTAGGGTGCCCCTCGGCGCGAGGGAGCGCCCGTGCCACCTCTTGCGCGGCTTTGTGGTCCGCCGCCGCGCGAGGGTGCTCCTCCCCGGCGAGCCGTTCTACTCCCCCGCGCGCATCAGCGAGGTGGTGCCACTTCCGGCACCGACGCCCGGCCGCGCCTCGCGGTGGCTCCTGAGACTGACCGCCATTGTCGACGGCGCGGCGCGGGAGGAGCCGCCGACGCCGCTCCGCCTCCTCTCCAACGAAACGGGCGGCGCCGGGAGCGAGGAGTGGGCGGTTCTCGCAGGCGCGGATGCTCGGAAGCTACACCGAGCTTTGCGCGCGGCCGACCTCACTCGCCTCATGACGGTGCGGCGCTCGGGGTCGGCCGCCATCGACCGGTGGCGCAGGCTGCTCCTCGGCCTGGGGCTGCACGAGCACGAGGCCGTGGCAGGAGATCCCAAGCGCGTGCTCGTGGGCGAGTTTTCATACCACCGGGCTTTCTACGCGCGCCTCCACCACGCGCAGTCCGCATTTCTCAAGCTGTTTGAGGCGTTTCCAGACGAGGCGTACCGCACCTTCCTCATGTGCGGGGCAGATGCTCGCTGACCGGCTGCAGGAGTGGCCCAGGGCACGGCGCAGGCTCGCGCTGTCGTGGCATCGCTGGCTGCTCGGACTCCAGCAGCGGCGCGAGGGCTACCCGGCTTTGCGCGAGTTTATCGCGCACGAGGCCGGGCTGTCGCACGACGAGCACATCGGCCGCGACGAGGCGGGGCGCTTCAGCTTGCCGCGGGTGGCGCTCGCCGTGCTCGAGGACCACGTCAACCTGATCATTGGCCGCAGGCTCATGGTTGACCCGGTCGATCGTTCGCGCGAGGCGTGCTGCGTCTGCCACCGCACGGCGGGCAGCTGCACGCGGTGGGCGCAGCTCAAGCTGTGCTGTTACTGGTTGTGCTGTGAGTGCGTGGAGAGGTGGGAGGCCGCCCAGCGAGGAGGGCAGGAGCGTGGGGGTGAGATTGGGGATGTCAGGGAGCTGGAGGACGAGGTGGTAGCCTCTCTCACGGAGTGTCCGATGTGCCGGGCCGAGGTGATTGTGAGGACCGAGGGGGGCGCCTGGTTCGTCTTCGTGGACCACGTGGAGTTGCGGAGGAGGCAGAGGCAGAGGGATGAGGGCCAGACCGAGTGTCATTTCTTCCGGTAATACAAGAATTGATGCTAGTGGGTTTATTGTTGTTGCAACAAAAAGAGGGGCTTTGGCCCTTTGTCCAGAGCCGCTTGGCTAGGGTTGTCAGGGGGCCGGGTCCCCCCCAGCCGCCCCCCTGGGTTTTGGGCCCCCCCCCCCCCCCCCTTCTCCCACTGGCTACGATCAGATCTGGTACTGCACCGACGACACCTCGCCTTCAGAGACCTCGCGCGCCTCCGCAGAGCTGCGGCTGCTCATCTTGGCGAACACCCGGCTGAGGCCGCCAAGGCTGCGCTTCGCGAGGCTGGTCCTGCCCTCGCCAATGCCACCGGAAATGAGGTCCCCCGCTTCGGCGATGCTGCCCGAAACACGGAGGTCCGCGCGAGCGGGGGTAGCCCCTAGGCTCTTTGCCAGAAGGACGAGCGACACCTGCGGGCAGGGACGCCCCTCTTCACGAAACGCTCGATGCGGGGGAGAGCTCGCTGTGAGAGAGAGAGGGCGCGCGCCTTGCGGTGGCGGCCGGGGAAGCACGATTTTGCCAGGTCCGTGTAGAGTCCGCCAGCGATGAGCTCCTGCGGCGTTGGGAGGAGAGGGTTGTAGGGGGAGGGGAGGCTCGGGACGGGCGCCACTGTGAGACATCCGCTCCTGCGGCGTGGTTTCGAAAAACCTCGAGAACTGGCAGCCGCCGAGCGCGGGGTCGTTCTCGTGCGCCATGACGATCTTCAGCCTGTCCTGGCGCGCCTGCTTGACCTGCTCGGCCAGCCGCTCGTCGCTGACGAAGCTCTCCTCGTTGAGGTAGAGCAGCATGTGCGTCGCGCTGGCCGGTCGATCATCAGTGGTGGAGATCGTGAGACCGGCAACGGCGGTGGCGATCTCGGTGGCCAGCTTCAGAGCGCCCGCGTTGGCAGGCGAGGCCCAGAGCGTGCACGGTTTGGAAAAGGCGAGCGACTCGCTCTCGAGCTCGCCCGACACGCAGAGCGGGAGGGAGGTCTTGTCCAGAAAGTTGGGCGAACAGAGGAGCACCGCCTGTGGTTCCAGTGGGGTCGGTCGGGAGACGGAGAGGACTGCGTAGCGGCTGGCTGTGGCCGGCGGCGCCTCGGCGATGATCTTGAGGGAGACGAGCTGAAACTCCTCGATGCGATACCAGATCGTGAGCGGCCAGTCCTCGTCAAAGATGGCCGGCTGCAGTTCATCCGGGCACTCGTCGCGCAGCGCCTGCAGCGTCCCGCCGCCCTTTGCAGGGTCCGCTTCTTGGACGAGGACGAGCGGCTTGTCCTTCTCGAGCGACGAGCGAATCTCTCGAAGGCAGTTCTGTGGCGCGGGAGAGGCGGGAGGTACGGCCAGAGGGCGGTAGAGGCGGGGTGGGAAGGAGAGGCGCGCCTTGGAGCGGAAGTAGCCCTGCGAGAGGAAGAAGAGGATGGCTTGCGAGCGTTGGATGTACTCCTCAAGCGCCCCGATATCCTTCAGGTCATCTACCTGTGAGAGCACACCACCGCGGAGCGTCAGAGGGGCTGTGGTAGCTAAAGCAGCGCTACTGAGCGTGTGCGCGCGTCGAGAAAAATCTTGATGTCCGGCAGCAGCTGCTCGAGCTCACCCTTGATGACCTTTACGGCGTCTTGACCGGTCGACCTATCGGAACCCGCCGGGTATGTTGTGGCGGGTTGCTGTTCCTCTTCTCCCTCCATAGCTATGACTCACCAGATGTGGCTGTTGAAGAGGTGCCACGTGAGGCCAGTCCCGATGCTCATCTCGGGGGGCTGCTTGGTCGAGACGAGTCGGATCGTGGGGATCTCGGCGACGCGGCGGGCGGCGACGATGGCGCCGACGAGGAAGAAGGCGAGCACGACTGCAACGAGGATGATCATCGAGTCGACAATCACATTGAGCTGGCCAAAGCCGAGGACATCGGCGGGGTCGGCTCCTTGATACCGCTCCTCGATGCCGAGGAAGATGGTGCTCCAGTTGGTGCCGAGGAAGAGCAGGAGGAGCACGAGGCTCGTGGCGACGGCGATGACGTTGTCCTCGACCCGCTTGTACGGCCGCACGGCGGCGAGCGCGACGGCGTAGCATGAGCAGACTAGGGTCGCCACCACCAGGCGAACAAAGGCTCGCTCCTCCGGTATCAGAAGCACAAAACCGGTCAGCACGAGCTTGCGCGCCAGCTCGACCGCCTCCCACCAGTACCAATTTTGTTCGTACTCCCGGTGGAGGAAGGCGGTGGCCCGCGTCAGAGCATTCGGCGTCTTGGCCTGCAGCGGCTTGTAGCAGGCGGCGAGGAGCGACGTGAAGAGGACCAGCGAGCCGGCGGGCCAGAGGGCGATGAAGCCGATGGCGAGGCCGGTGATGGGTCCGTGATCGTCGGAGCCGCACTCGACGCTCGCGTCCTGCCGCATGTAGGAGACCTGCCGCAGGGGCTCGTTTGGCGGAGAGATGGTGTAGGCCTATCAGCAGAACATCGCGAGGACTGAGGGGTGGGGTTGTGAGCAACTTCGGCAGTCAGCTGTGAGAGGGCGCCTGGCACGACCAGGAGCGGAAGATGGAGGCGCTGACGGAGGGCACGAAGCAGAAGATGAGCACCAGGCCCGCCGGCGTGAGGTCGAGGAGGCCGAGGGCCGCCTCCGCGTACCACGCTCTCTCGCGCGGCGGCGGGGCAGCACGCCAGCGGTAGAGCCGCAGACTTATTCCCGCAACCATTAGCAGGGCGATGAGGGCGACGGGGGAGAGGGCGATGGCGAGGAGCCGCAGAGCGTAGCCGAGGCACTGCTCCGGCAGAAACAAGCCAGACCAGTCGATGGAGATCAAGTTGGCCAGCTTCTCCGTCCAGTCCGTGTACTTGTCCGGCAGCCGCGCGGAGTAGGTGGAGGACAGGACGGTGCAGATCTGGTAGAAGCCAAAGAGGATCTTGAGCTTGGCCGTCATTCCGACCCCGACGTAGTACTTGACGGAGCGGTCTGCAAAGCGGAGGAGACAGCCGATGATGCGCTTCTTCCGCCACGGCATGTGGTAGGCCCAAGCCGCCAAGCCGCACGCGACGCAGAGGCCGAGGACGAGGCCCACGATGCGACCCACAGCGGCGCCGCGCGGAGCGCATACTTCGCAGGTGTCACCGTCCAGGTAATGATTCTCCGCGGCGCAGAGCCGGCACTCGGGGCCGGTGAAGCCGGGAGCGCAGTACTCCGAGCCAGCCTCCGCCATCCTGCGGCGGCCAGAGGCGCCTGTCGGCTCGCTGCCGGCGCATCGCGTCTTGCCGGCCGTGTCGCCCGTGAAGTTGCGGCACGCCGTCAGCACGGCGGAGGAGGGGCTGGCGCGCCAGAAGCCGCGCCGGATGACGAGGGAGGAAAGGGTAGTGTTGTCTGGGCATGTAGCGTCCGCCGGGCAAGGCTTGCAGTAGTCGGTCGGGGACTTGAAGATGTCGTTTGGGCCGGCGTTCGCGTCCTTCAGGTAGAAGCCCTCCATGCAAAACGAGCAGATGGTGCTGCCGTTGGCCGAGCTGAGGGGGTAAGGACACGGGACGCAGAGGCCCTGGCCAGCGTTGGCGGCGTAATTGCCAGCCTCGCACTCGTCGCACGCGTCGCTGCCTGCCTTCGACGAAGTGCCAGGACGGCAAGACTCGCACTTGGAATGCCCCTCTTTTGCGCTGAAGGTGCCCGGCGAGCACGGCGTCTGCTCAATGGAGCCCGTCACCGCGAAGGAGCCAGGGTCAGCCAGCGTGCAGTCGCCCGGCTCGTCGTTGTCGGTCGCGCTCGAGTAGCTGCCGCCCTCGCACGGCAGAGGCGCCGCCGCGCCCGGCTCGCAGTAGCGGCCTTGCTCGCACGGCTTGCACGCCGTCTTGCCGCTCTCGTGCTGGTACGTGCCGCCCGCGCAGAGCGTGCAGCTGCCCTTGACCGGCATCGACGCGTTCGTGTACGAGCCCTTGGCGCAAGGCGTCTGCTGCGTGGAGCCCGTCACCGCGAAGTAGCCCGGGTCGGCGGCGGTGCACTCGCTCGCGTCGGTGAGGTTGGTGGCGCTTGAGTAGCTGCCAGCCTCGCACGGCAGCGCCGCCGCCGCGCCAGCAGCGCAGTAGCTGCCTTTCTCGCACGCCTTGCACTCCGTCTGGCCGCCCTCGTCCTGGTACGTGCCGCCGGCGCAGAGCGTGCACTCGCCCTGCTTGTACGCGTCCGTGTACGACCCCTTGGCGCACGCCGTCTGCTGCGTGGAGCCGGTGGTGGCGAAGTGGCCCGGCGAGGCGTCGGTGCACTCGCTCGCGGCGGTGAGGTTGGTGGCGGTCGAGTAGCTGCCCGCAACGCACGGCAGCGGCGCCGCCGCGCCCTTGGCGCAGTAGCTGCCCGCCTCGCAAGCGCGACAAGATGTCGCGCTCTGCGCTGGCTGGTATGTGCCAGCGGAGCACGCCTCGCACTTTGGGAGGCTGGCCTCGCCAGCGAAGAAGCCTGGCAAACACGGCCTTGGCGCGGCGCTCCCGCTCAAGCAAGAGAACCCAGGCGGGCACACGGAGCACTCGCCCTCAGACGCGAGGTTGGTTGCATTCGAGTGGCTTCCGGCAGGGCACGGGAGAGGCGTCGCCGTGCCCTCGGGGCAGAAGAAGCCGGGCTCGCAGTCGAGGGCCTCGAACGTGGCGGCGGCCGGGCACTGCTTGCCGCTCGGGCACGCCCCGGCGCAAAGCCGACTGCCCTGCATCGTGGCATCCGCCGACCCCAAGATGCCCGCGTAGCAAGCGTACGGGAGATCAATGTCGATGGGTTGCCCAGGGAATTGATAGACGCGCTGCCCCAGCAACGACGGGTCGCGCCGCCAATCGCACCGCTGGACAAACGTCGCGGGTGTGCACCCTTCGGGCGGCACGCAGTCCCCCGAGGCATCGCAGACATCAGCAACGAATGGACACTGGTCGCGTCGCTTCTCGCAAAAGCCGAGGGTCCCCGCCTCGGTTGCCTCGCAGGGAGAGTCGTACGCCTCGCGATACACCTCGCACAGCGAGGTTGGCATCCAGTGGCCGGGCGGTGCTGGCAGCTGGTAGCTGACGGCGGCATTGTCCATAAAGACTCGACTGCCTAGCAGCGCCGAGCCGTTTGAGAGGGCCGTCCGCTCGGACAAGCGCACGGAGGTGCCAGCATAGAGCAGCCCACCGCGCAGCGTCGCCTCGCAGTCGGAGAGGGTCGAGGCAATCAGTGTGACCGCCGCATCGCCGCCCTCGCCCTGCCCGACAGCGGCTAGCGCCCCGCCTTGCCGCGCGTGGCACCGGGTCACCGCAGAGTCCGAGACGCGCAGCGCCGACGCCTCGACATAGACCGCGCCGCCGTCGCGCGCCGCCGAACAGCCGTCAATGTCAACACTCTCTAGCACCACCGTCGCCTCGATCGCAAAGATGGCGCCGCCGTCGAGGCCCGAGCTGCACCCCGTGATGCGCACGTTTTGCAGCTCTGCGACTCCGCCGTCGAGGACGCTCAGGGCACCACCGCCTCCGGATTCGGACCGCCCGTCAGAAAGGACCACGCCCTGCAGCATCAGATGGCCGCCCTCGCGCACATCAAACAGCTGCGTCGCGCCACCGCCGGTGATCGTAGCTGCAGGCAAACTCGATCGGATGATCACGCTCCTGCCACTGACGACGATGGGGGCGGAGAGCTTGAAGACCGAGCCAGGCGGGATAGCCATCGTAATTGCAGCGCCGGTCCCCTCGAGCATCGCCCTCCGGGAGCCGACCAGCCGCTCTAGTAGCTGCGTGATCTCGTCCTCGCTGGTCACAAGCTGCTCAGATGGAGCGAGGGGTGGCAGCGGCGGCGCGAGCGGCGGCGGCGGCGGAAGAGGCGGCGACGGCGGAAGTGGCGGCGACGGCGGCGGGGCGGGCGGAGGGGGCTGAACCGAAGGGCTTGGCATCGGCGGCGGCGAGAGCGTGCGCGGGCCGCAGTCCTGGCAGTCCTCGCCGTAGGTGCACACCGCGTACACGCTCCCCTCGCCGCCGTCGTCGCAGACCCCGTCGTTCGCGCTACCGCAGTCTCGTCCGCAGCCCGGCTGGGCGGGAGGTGGAGAAGGCGGGGGCGATGGCGGCGGGGGCGATGGCGGAGGTGGGGGGCTTGGCGGCAACGGCGGCTCGGAGGGACTCGGGGGTGGCGGGGGTGGCGGCGAGGGCGGCGCTGCTGGAGGAGGCCGTGGCGGCGATGGCGGCAGCGGCGGTGGCGCGGCCGGCGAGGGGGGAAGGGGGGGCAGCGATGCGGGTGGCGGCGGCGAGGGCGGCGGTGGTGGACGCTGGGGGAGCCCGACGGGCACATCGGGCGGGAAGCTGGGTGACGGCGACGAGGGGGGCGGGGGCGGCGTCGGCGGCGGCGACGGTGGTAGCGACGGCGGGGGTGCCGGCGATGGCGGAGTGCGAGGCGGCGCGGACGGGGGCGGAGGTGGTGGAGGCGGCGGTGGAGGCGACGGGGGCGGCTGCGGCGGAGACGTAGGTGGCGGTGGTGATGGCGATGGCGGAGGCGGCGGCGGAGG